CTTATGTGGTGCTGAGGAATCGAACCCAGGGCCTCATGCATGCAAGGCAAGCACTCTACCACTGAGCCACCTTCCCAGCCCCTATTTTATTTATTTTTTGCTGGTCATGGGGCCTGAACTCTGGGTCTGGGCGCTGTCCCTCAGCTCGTCAGCTCAAGGCTAGCACTCTACCACTGGAGCCACAGCGCCACTTCCAGCTTTTTCTGTGTATGTGGTGCAGAGGAATCAAACCCAGGGCCTCATGCTTGCAAGGCAAGCACTCTACCGCTGAGCCACCTTCCCAGCCCCTGTATTGCTTTTAATGAAGGTATTATTTATAGACTTCATAAAGTAACAGTTCTTTGGTAATGTGCCCTAGTTGAGTGGATTTTCATTTAAACAGTAATGTTGGTACTATGGCTCTCGGAACCCATTAAAACTCTCAACAACAATGGCAGCAACAACACAACCCACTTTTCCTTAACAGCAGCAAGACTAACTGCCCTGCTCAGTACCTGTTGCAAGATAGAATACACTGTGTGGCAGCAATTGTAATGTTATCTCTGAAAGCTATTGAGAATTGTCAGGGATTGGCTTGCCAGTATCCTCTCCTACAGAGGTGGGGAGAGGACAAGGTATTTGTGTGCTTTTCAAAGAGTTGACAGGCTAGCTCTGTGCCAGTATAGGCTCAATCCCCGCACAGCTAAGCAAAAGACCACGAATGAAGCCAATCATATAGCCTAGAGACAGTGGAGAACATTGAAGGGTTCAGGGACTTCAGAGTGTTTCCCTTGTTTCTCCCCAGCCACTGCGGAAAGTTGGCCAGCTTTGGGTTGTTTCTGATAGAGTCAACTTGAAAGCTGCCTTTGCTGTGAATTCACTAAACGCCTGACAGCCTCCACGTTGCACCTGTGCTCTTTGATCTGCGCCACTCCCGGCTGCAGCCACTTTACAATCACCCGTGGGCTCCAGGAAGAAAGCAAATTGGCCCTCAAACAGGTGATGCGATGCTCTTGCTATGGGAAAGAAAACAGCCAGAAATTACAGATGCCCGGCTAGGCCTGTTCAGAACCGAGTTGACAATCAGCCAGGCCATAACCTGTGACTTGAGACTGTTTTAACGGAGCATATTGTTTCCCATTTCCTACCCCTAATTTCTCCATATTTAACTTGAAGCCAATGTCGGTATCCCTGAAGAGGGCTGAAGAAATATTGAAATGCCATCTTCCCATGGCCGCCATATAATACATCTCCTCTCTCTTCCTCCATGTCTTGGGGTGAGTGGCTAGAGCCACTGTAGGACTCCTGGACTTTGGGTTGGACACTCTTGTTTCAACAACTTCCATTGACACTTCCAGGATTCTCTGGTTATGGATTGTCTCCTTTAGAGGCACTTCAACCCTTCCTTGCAAGGCAGTTCCTGACAACTGGCTGGAAGACTGTTTACCTTAGATGACCTCATATTCTCATCCCTGCCGTCATCTGGCCATACAACATTGAGCTAACAGCAGTTACCCAAACAACTGGACTCTCTGGTCTCCAAGTAAGTAAACAGACCCCGCCCACCCCTCCAAGGATAATGCATGGAATACAAAATCGATTTGAGTATTTTATTTATAAATGTACATTTACTATAAAAACTGTTGCATTTTAGACAACTTTTTTATTTTTAATTGTTTTTACTATTTCTCAGAGGAATTTTAGAATAAATATTGTAAATGAAAGTTAGTTTAACTGATATAGAACATTAGCCCACCCACAATAGTTACATCTTTTTGGACGGACCCACACTCAGGAAGTGAATCTTTCAGTTCGTTAACTCTTAAACCGTATATAGATAACTAGAATAGGTATCGCATTAATAACACTACCTATAAAGAAGGACGAAATGTCATGAAAATTGGCTAGTGAGAAACAGAATCACCCATTTTTTTCCCCTTAGGAAAGAGATAGGACAAGCTTTTGGAGTATGAGAAAAACAAAATCAGATAAACTTCCTCAGGAACAATAAATCACTCGCCTTGTCTGGGTTTTTTTTTTTTAAACAAACACATTTACATTAGAGCTGAACAGAGATGAGTATATATATATATATTTTAGCTTTCTCAGGACCTCAAAGATTATTTGAAAAGAAATAGATCATACTCATTGTGCTGTGATGGAAAAAACAAGCTCCCGTTTGCTGAAACTGCCATGTAACCGGCTCCAAATGAAATAGAAATCGAATAGAAATAGAAAGAGTTGGCAATTAGAATTTAGAAAACATCGGAGGATGATTCGGTGCTGGTGAGTATCGGTCCTGATGGAAAGTGTGTTCTGCAGTTGGAGATGGTTTGTTTTGTTGTTGTTGTTTTGGTTTGTTTTAAATCTCTCCTGACTTCACGCTTGCTGCCATACACATACAGTGAGTCTGAGCTTAAGAAATGCGTACAAATGGCTCTGTGAAACCAGAGGAAATATGCACTGTCCATAGCTTCCTTCCACAATGGATGGAGTTCCACATGTAAAAAGGATCCTAGAAAAATGCCTTCTGACTGGCTACCTGTGTTTGTGCATCGTTTCTGGTTAAAGTACGCTACTAATCATCATGCCAAGTGTAAACATCGCATTATCAAAATAGTTAATAAAACATGCAGGTGGTTCATCAAAATATTGGACCTATTTTAATCTGTACAGTTTTCAAAACTTGGTTCTTTTTCTTTTTTAATTTTTCCTTTTTTTCGGCTTTTTCTTTTTTTTTTTCCTGTAAAACAGCAAACACCTCCACGAAGAAGGGGTGAGGTGGCTGCATTTTTGTCCAATGTACTGCATCCATACTCACCGATATGTGCAACAGCTTTGCATTTTCTAAGGCACATTTTTTTAAAATGAAAGGATGTGTAAATTTCAGTCCAACAACAAGTTCATCCAAATGAACAAAGTAGTTGTGTAAAATACCCCCAATAGCTGAGGAAATTTCTGCACCTATATGGAGCCCACATGCAAAGAACCGTCTAGCATAGAAATAAATAGTTGCTAGCCATACTCCGTAGGACATGGGAAAAAAATTATTGCTTACGCAACAGTAACACATCTACTCAATCTCTTCTTATGCCTATATTAGTCTGTTAGGAGTGCATCCATAGTCTCTACTCACAAAATACCTTCTTCACTTATTTGCCATCATCTTAAGGCAGAATAAATAGTTCCCCTTTTCCCAGTCTTTAAAACAAAACAAAAACCCAACACAAAACAGCCTGGAGATGGAAACTATGATGGTTTGTAGTCACTCAATTCCTTTCTTGTCCAACTGAAATTTATCACACCAGATCTCCACTAGACTTTCTCAACTTCAAGAGCAAGGTCCAAAATTCTGGAGTAAAGATGGTGGACCGGGCCCCCCGCTCTAAGCTGTAGGTGCCTGCGGAGTGCATGTTGGATCCTGGGCTTTCCACATCCTGCCATTTGGATTCTGTTAGGATGGACTTTATTCTTGTCTTTGGATACCCAGGCTTCAGGTCTTCAAGGAGAACTTGCAGACAATGGTCATTCCTCATGATGGTCTTATCTCCATGTCTCATATTCCATACATCTATTAAGCCCCTTACCGGATTCCTAATCTAGTGCTTGGAGGAAAGCAAGCAACCTGGGCCTGTGCCTTTCACTGACTGACCCACCACTCTTGGAGATTAAACTTCCTTCTAGATTTGCTAATAAATTTTGAAATGATGATTGAAATATTTCCTGCTGGTTTCTTTCTACCCTTGAGCAATGTCCCAGAGCATTTGTCTATGATATTACAAGGGTTCATCTTTATTTGCTGGACCAGCCTATGTTAATGACATGACTTCCAAGGTTCACAAAAATCTAATACTAACAGTACAATAATTTATTGGAATATACCTTCTACCTCAAAAGGTAAGCAACACAAATGTTTTCAGGATGATTACAGTATATATTATAGGACTAATGCCTTTGTATTAAAAACAAAGTTATAGCTCAGAGACAAGAGCTTAGTGTGATGTTTAATTTTTTCTGAAATGCATTCATTTTATACCCCTGTCTGAGAAGACCACATGTCTCAAATTGGCATGCTTGCACTTTCTGCAGCTCAATTCTGTAAACATAAAGTCTTTATTTTCTACAAGTACTAAAATGTAACAGTTTTTTTTATTGCATCCTTTAGCTATTTCCCAAAGAAGAGAATAACATATTTGAAACCATGAGCCTGTTTGACCATACTAACACCTTTCAACTATTCGGGATCATTACAATTCCATATTCTTTTGTATATACTGTGCAACTGCAAAAATAAATCAACAAAAAACCCAAAACAAAACAAACAAAAAAACCCCACAGGAAAAGCACACTGTGATACAAAGAACAGATAGCATCTTGTAGAGGAGCCTTTCCGAAGTTAGACGAATGCCCCTGAACTTGGGCCTTTCTTAAGCAGTTGGCAGGGGCCACTCCAATAAAGAAATGGTCAGTGGTCCCAAAGCTTGAGAACCAGGTCACAATGTTGTAGGTTGGCCAGCACCTGTGATAAAAGAAAGCGTGAATGAGTTTAGATCATCAACATGTTGTTGTTGTTTTGCTTCAGATGTTGTAAAACTTCCCAAGTTAGCAATGGCCTCTGCTAAAATCTCTTCTTTTGGGGAGGGGAACTTTGTCCCATTCTGCTCTTCAAAGCATGATCTCAGGACATGCAGTGCAGGGATAACTGGAGTTTGTTAGCAATGCGGACTCCTGTGTTCCATTTCAGACCCACTTACCACAGGGTCCCTGGGTGGTGCAGGTGCAGTCGAGTCTCCCCTAAAGCAAATGATGTCTCTCAAGCTTTCTACTGCTCTCTGGGGATATGTAAGCAAGAAAATAATTTTTTCTCTGTTTCTTTAGATTTTAGTTTTTCTAAGAAGAAAGCCATTGAAATTAGAGGATTAGAATTGCTAGATTTAACAATCAAAAGTTCAGAACCCTGAGTAAAATCTGCATTTTAGATAAATAACACATACACAGATATTTAGCACAAGTATATCCCATGTGACATTTGTGATATATCTGTGCTAAACTCACTGTCTATAATATCTGGAACATACAGATACTAAAAAATGGTTGCATAACAAATTCACTGTTGGGGCTGGGAAGGTGGCTCAGTGGTAGAGCGCTTGCCTTGCATGCCTGAGGCCCTGGGTTCGATTCCTCAGCACCACATAAGCAAAAAGAAAAAAGCCAGAAGTGGTGCTGTGGCTCAAGTGGTAGAGTGCTAGCCTTGAGCTGAAGAGCTGAGGGACAGCGCCCAGGCCCAGAGCTCAGGCCCCACGACCGGACCAAAAAAACAAAAACAAAAAAAACCAAATTCACTGTTTATCTGAAAATCCAATTTTTAAAAAACTTAACTGGGTATCATCTTTTCTTTGGCAACTCTATCAAGAAAGACTTAAGTTTTCTATTTCCTGCTGAATTCTTCTCAAGACTTCTCCTTTATATGAGGCTCCTTCATATGAGTTGGGATGAGGCAATCACAACAAGGGAGAAGACCTTGGAGAGAGTGTGGTAAATGCATTTCCAGGCTAGAACACCACATACATACAAAGGCCCAGGCATCAGAAACCCAGGCACAAAAGGCAGGAGCTCCTCAAGACGGCCCGCCTCTTGACAGGTGATTTGTTTACACTTCCACTTCCATTTACATACCAACTTAAACATGGTTTGCATGGCTTTTAGAAATTGCATTTTAATGTGCTGTAATGCTATTTTTCTCTCCCAGAGAAAAATTTCATTTAAATGTGACTAGTTACTTGGAGGAAACAGGATTATATATTCAGGCTTTATTATTCTACAACAATGAAACTGTTTTGTTTCACGTACAATGCCTTTGATGTAAACCACCCTTTACATCAATCCATCTCCTTTCTCCTCAACTTGGATCAATGTAAAATGAAAAACCAAAATGAAAGAAAAATGATTTCATGCTATTTCTTTTCCATTCTGATTCTTTTATTGCATCTGCTATCTATATGCAACCAGTTCAAGGATATTAATACTATTCTAGCCAAATTATTAGCTTCTCTGGTCATTTTTAAAGTATATTTTTTTCTTGGAAGCCAAGAAAGAAAAACAAATTTGAAAAAACACTGGAGAAAATGTGGCCATTTATTACCTAATATTAAAATATATTATCAAGGTACAAAAATTAAAACCATTAAATAATGGAGAATAAATAGGTTAATAAAACATAATAAAATATCCAGAAACAGACTATATATATATTTTTTTTTTGCTTCATTTATGAAAAAGTTAGCATTTTAAATTAGCAAATATCAAGGGAGTATTCATTAAGTGATATTTACATATTTGGATAACTGGAAAAAATGTAGGACTGGACATGTACCTAATTTTTATCCCTAAATACATTTCTGGTGATGACATATTTACATATTAAAAAGAAAAACTAAGTTTAGGGGAAATTTTAGATAAGTTTGTTTATACTTTTGGAATCAAGGCTTTCTAAGTGAATTACAGATCCTAGACTTCAAAAAGCCCCCCACCCAAAAAGGGAGAGTTTACCTCAAATGCAAATCTTTTGTATGAGAATAAATCACAAAAGTAAAAACTAATAATAATTGCAGCATGCAGCAAATAAAACAAAGGGAAACTTGCATAAATTTTTGGAAAAGGCAAACAGATTAGATGTCAACAGGATCAGGTATCCAGATCTGGGACAAATGGTAATATAAGAGAAACACCTGGGAAGAGGCTCAAACTCATTAAAGAAATGCAGATCAAAGCAATAAGGTTTCTCCCTCATTCTCCTCCCCTTCTCTTAGGGGAATAGATTTCCTTTTTCTCAGTCACTTACCTAAGCTAGGTAAGTGGTCTACCCTGGGGCTACAATTTCCGCCCAGTACTAATGAAAAAAACACAACACATCAGTATATATATGTATATATTTTTGGTCAGTCTTGGAGCTTGAACTCAGGGCCTGGGCACTGCCCCTGAGCTTCTTTGTGCTTAAGGCTAGCACTCTACCACTTGAGCCACAGCATCATTTCTCCCTTTTTGGGAATAGTTTATTGGAGATAAGAGTTCATGGACTTTCCTGCCAAGGCTGACTTTGAACTGTGATCCTCAGATCTCAGCTGCCTGAGTAGCTAGGATCACAGGCGTGATCCAGCAGCGCCTGGCTCTTAGAAAAGCACATGCTGATATCCAGAGCCACCACATCATGGAGAAAGAAAGGGCTTTCTCACACATTTTTGCAGGGAGGATATATTTTCTTCTCAACAATAATGACTGAAAATTTCAAAAGCCTATATATGCCCTTGAACTCAGCTTTGCTACGGATGGGGGTGCTTTTACATACTCATCAAAATGTGTATGCGGCTGTTCACCGGAACATTTAAAAAATAATACGGAAAAAGGAAACCACCAAAATATCCACAGAAGAGCAAGAATGTGGCAAAATGATAACATTCCCAAGATGTATTAAACTACTAAGATCTACTAACTGGAAAGCAACAACAATGAAAACTAAGCACAGGGCACCATACCAGGGACTGTCACCTTTGTGAACTAAAACCCAACCCTTATCCAGGTACATGCACCATGCACACACGTGCTTGCGTGTGAGCACGTGTGCCACAGCCAGATGCCCCTTCTATCTTGTTCCCAAGAAGTTATTAGGAAGCAATGACATTGGAGATTTCACCTTTTTTTGGGGGGGATCCAGTTGTGGGGCCTGAAAGTGTGCCTGGGCGCTGTCCCTCAGCTCTTCAGTTCAAGGCTAGTGCTCTACCACTTGAGCCACAGTGCCACTTCTGGCTTTTTTTTTTTCTGCTTAGGTGCTGAGGAATCGATCCTAGGTCCTCATGCATGCAAGGCAAGTGCTCTACATTTGAGCCACCTTCCCAGCTCTAGAGATTTCACTTTTAATTTGGTAGGCTGCTGAACCTTATAGAGCATTTATACATATTTGTTCTGTTGGCTTATTATTTTTGGGGGGTGGATTTTTAAATTATAATTATTTCCTTTAAGTAGTAAAAAGGGGCTACCATTCAACAAATAAGTTCATAAATACAATGCATTCTGATCAATACCACCACTTTCATCCTTCTCCTAACCCCTCCTGCAATTTCCCCATTTTCATAGAACATGTGTTGAGTGTTAGGACTGCATTTCCCCCCTTATCCCTGTGTGGCTTGTTTTTGAATCTCTTCAGAGATATGTAGGCAGACAGGCAATGGGACTTTTATTTTTCTCCTGAATTTAAAATATAAACTCAACAAAAAAATCTGTAATCTACTTCTAAATGACTGCCTTATTTTCCATCTTGTTAGAGAAACTCCCCACTGGTGGTGATTTGTCAGTAAGAACAGTTATTGTTCTTCATATTTGCAGCTGTTAAGAGAAACATTCTTATCCTAGATTCAAAAAAACCTAATTTCTGGGGGGGGGGGAAATGACAGCAAACTACCCAATTTCCCAGTAGGAAAAAAAAGCTGGATAAAAGCAGGTCTTTGTCACCGAGACGCAGGTTCGGGTCTGTTGTACATCACCACCCTTCCCGGACTCCATGAAAGACGCTCCAGTTTGGACTATTTCTCAAATCTTCAGATCTTTCGGCCTAACAGTGCCCTCTTCTGGTTCCTTGATTTACATTCAGCCAGCTTACCCAGACTGAGCAAAAGGCGTCATTTGTATACCATATAGGAAAAAAAAAAATCACTTTGAAACCTGAGAGAAAAGGGTCTACTTTTAAAACAAAGCAATATACACACTTACATTTACATATTTGCATATATACATGTGTATACATATTTGCATAAGTATGGGTAAATATACTTACCACTTACACAGTATACTGTTTATACCATAGTGTAGATATGTATACATGATAGCCAGAGCTGGTGGCTCATGCTTGTAATCCTAGCTACTTGGTAGGTAGAGATCATGAGGGTTGACATTCAAGGTCAGCCCTGGCAGAAAACGTTGCCAAGACTTTATCACAACTACCAGGTAGGTGCAATGGCTCATGCTGGTCACCCCAGTTCTGAGGGAGGTGGGGGGAGAAAGAATGGTGGTTCCAGGGCAACCTAAGCAAAAACTGTTTGCAAACCCAATCCAATAGAAAAGGCTGGTGAAGCACGCATCTGTCAACCCAGCTATGTCAGGAAGCATAAATTAGGAGGCTCATTGTCCAGGACAAAAAGCGAGACACTATCTAAAAAATAATAAGAGCAAAAAAGGCTGGAAGGATGGCTAAGCAGTACAGTGCCTACCCAGCAAATGGAAAGCTCCAACTTAAAACTCCAGTGCCATCAAAAAGAAAAAATATCCATGGCATAAAAATTAATATCATGGTAGGAGCTAGTGGTTGATGTCTGTAATCATCATTACTCAGGGAAGTCCATGAGATTCTTATCTCTAATGAATTACCAAAACTCCAGAAGTGAAGCTATGGTTCAAATGGCGGAGTGCTAGGCCAGAGCAAAAGAAGCTCAGGGACTGAAGCCCCAGGACCAGCACAAGAAAGAAAGAAAGGAAGAAAGAAAGAAGGAAAGAAAAAAAAGAAAGAATAAGAAAGAAAAGAAAGAAAGGAAGGAAGGAAGGAAGGAGAGAGAGGAAGGAAGGAAGGAAGGGTCATATATAATATATGATATAAATAAATATAAATATGATATAAATATATGATATAAATATATGATATAAATAGCTGCTCTAAGTTGGAACTGTTTTGACTTCAAGTCAAATGTGTATCTTAGGTCAAAATCACTTAGGCTTTATTTGATTTTTAAGTCCTATAATTTCATTAACAGGCATATATTTCCCTAAATTTATGAAAATCATAGCAGTAAAAACTACTTAATTTCAATTTTTCTTCTTAGATTTTAGCCATGTAGATTTAGAAATCATGTAACAAGACAGTAAAATACATGTCACCAGAGAAATAATAAAAAGGCTTGAATTTCAGTGTCTAACTCTTCACTATGATATATAGATATAGTCACATATATCTATTCTACCTGTCTATCTATTTATCTACCTACCTACCTACCTATCTACCTACCTGCCTATGTTTTCCTCTATTTTTTGAGACAGGATCTTGCTCTGGAGTCCAAGCTGACCTCAAATTTAAGATCCTCATGTCTCATCCTCCTGAGTTTTGAGATTATAGGCAGGCACCATCGTGCCCAGCTTTAATTTTTAAGTATTTTTACTTGATGCGTGTGCGTGCGCGCGTGCCTGTGTGTGTGTGTGTGTGTGTGTGGGTGGGTGTGTTGTGAAGCTTGATCTCTGGGCCTGGACTTTGTCCCTGAGCTCTTCAGTTCAAGGCAAGCCCTCTACCACTTGAGCCACAGCGCCACTTTTGGTTTTCCAGTGGTTAACTGGAGATGAGTCTCACAGACTTTCCTTGCCCAGGCTGGCTTTGAACTGCGAACCTCAGACCTCAGCCTCCTGAATAGCTAGGATTACAGGTGTGAGCCACTGGCACCTGGCTACTTGATGAATTTTTAATAAAAGGTTTCCTGGTGTCCAACATATCTACCAGAAGAATTCTAAAATCTGAGGGAAGGATGCTGAAGCAAAAACCGTAGTCTAGTTTCAGATGGTCTAAACAGCATTTGGGCAATAGCACCCTCTGGTGGTCCGAAGAGGAACATGTCTTTCCACCTTTGGGAGAAGATCCTGGAGTAGGATGTGATTTCCCAAGATGGCAAATATTTGTTCAAATCTTATCACATACAAAGGTATTGGAGGCCAGAATCCCACAGAAGTAGACTCCATTATTTGGTTGTTCAAGACATTTTTAACTTCATTATTTAATTATATTAAGTAATGAATGTAGGCATGGAGACACAGAGGAGTTGGTGCTACATTTGATACATAGTGAAGAGCCATTCTTAATATTTAATTACCTCCTTAAGGCTGGTCCTCTGAAGACAGGCCTGCATGTGTCCCTAAGATCTTTGTGATTATTCAGATGATGTCTCAAATTTGGCCAAAGTGTGTGCGTGTGTGTGTGTGTGTGTGTGTGTGCTTATTTTCTTTTTCCTTTGTAACCCAGGTTCTTTAATTTAGCTCTTTCACTTCAGACTGTGCGATACCACCTGAGCAATAGTTCTTCTCTGGCTTCTTGGTGATCGATTGGAGAATCTGAGTCTCACAGACTTTCTTACCTGGGCTGACTTCAAACCTTGGTTAGTCCTCATCTCTGAGCCTCCTGGGTAGCTAGGATTACAGATGTGAGCCACTGGCGCTAACAGTTTTTACCTATAGGTAGTGTTTCTACACTTCTGGATCCAGAGAATTTATCCACATGAGCAGTAACTTCAAGTATGGAACAAATGACAAATATCCTTTCTGGTAGAGGGAATCTTTGGGTCCTTCCCTTGGGTCTGTGGGAGGCATGTGGGCACACCTACTCCTCTCAGGGCCTGCAGCGCATACTCACTTCTGGACCGCAGGTAGCAGTCGTTGCAGTTTAGAAGACCATTTCGAATCCTCACATCCGTCCCACTCACTGCGTCGCCAAGCTGTCCTTTGCAAATTCCACACTGCAGGAGGGGAAAAGAACACCTGCTATAAGGTGCGTGGGGATTTGTTTGTCATGATTACAGGAATAACACAACCATCAGCCCTCCCATCTTCACATTTGTTGTGTCAGACATCTCGAGATCCAACTCACAACCAAAAGAAAACGTACTGTGAGACTTTTATTCTCGACTTTACATTTCACAGAGGATATTGGTTCAGACACATTAGTGGATCTGTCTTGTGTGTGAGATGCTGGCAGTGGTTTTGCATGGACCCCAGACTCGATCAACTAGTTCTCAATCAAGGATTGTTTAAAACAGATTCCACCCCAGCAGGCAATATAGATGATCAATGGGAACTTGACTTTCAATAACTTTTCGAGGCTTACCAGCATGGTTTCTAAGTTCTTCCTGATGAGAATTACTTAGGAAGAAGTGCTTCTATTTTGTATTTCCACCTTAACGGCAGATACCTGGACTAGCAAGTCCCCTGGGAATGGAAACCCACTTAGCCAAGTTGGTCTGAGCACAGAGGGGACTGTGGGAGACACGCTACTGTTTGCATCAAAGGAAGTAGCACAGGGTGTGGGTCCAGCACCAGCCTCTACATGAGAACCCTTGGCTCAGGCTCTTAGGCCACCTGGGGTAGAGAGGGACTTCATCTAAATTACATTACCAGCCTTATCCACTGTGCTTAGTGTGTGGTGAGTTTTGCTTTCATGTGATTCCTGGCAGAGAATAGGATTAGGTTTGAGGATAACTTCACTGACCAATCTCTTAGCTTATGGACAAAGTAGAATTTATTTTAAAACCCTGCAGGCTTACTTTATTGGTTTTTTATTTTTTTTTATTTTTTGCCAGTCCTAGAACTCAGAGCCTGGGCACTGTCCCTGAGCTTCTTTTGCTCAAGGCTAGCACGCTACCACTTGAGCCACAGCACCACTTCTGGCTTTTTCTGTTTATGTGGTATTGAGGAATCAAATCTAGGGCTTCATGCATGGTAGGCAAGCACTCCACCACTAAGTCACATTCCCAGCCCTACAAGCCTACTTTATAGCCAAGGAGATCACCAACAAGGAGGACAAAAAAAATCAAGGAGGAAAAAGAAAGGAGCTCAGCATTATGCAGATGAATGACTCTTACTCAGAGACAGAAAGTTTGGCTTCAATTGATATGTTGAATTGAAACCCCTTTGTACAACTACTTAAAAGATCATTAAAATATAAATTTTTAAAAAGAGAAGGCTTGGCTTCAGAGTCCTATGTATATTAGTTTGAAAAGTATCGCTGAGTGAAACAAGGAGAAAATATGAGGACAAAGTGCCACTTACCTATTTTACCATAGATGAAGTAAAATTGGTTAGCTCATCAACTGGTTAGCTCATCCGCAGAGCCGGTACTAGAGCCCAAGCCTCCTTGTCAGTGTTTTCAGTAATTCAAGCATCTAAAAGTTATTACTGATGGCTACAGAGGAAACTGACCAGCAAGAAGGGTGGCGTGGCTCCACCCTATGGACTTGCATGTTTATGAGAGGAGCTGGGACTTACACAAGAGTCCTAAGGGCCATGGCAGGTTCCAAAGGAACCTGGGAAACCAAGGCATGGGACAGGGGCAGGGTAGGAGAGCAGGCAGCCTCACAGCGTGAGTGACTCTCAACCTGAGACGGAACACAGATTCATTCCAGAAGCTACATTTTGCAAATAGCTAGAACCACTCACTTAACAATGGGAGATCATTTTTTTCCTTCCATAGGCCAATGACTAAAACCCCTGCGATGTGACAACCCAAGAGTTTAAGAAACAGCGAAGATGTTAATTCCAAACACACATGCTGGGTCTTAAAAGCTTTGCAGGCATCATCCGCCCTGCGTCCCTTTCTCAGCCCCCTGCGGGAGTATGCACTCTTTAGCAAAGGAGCACCTCGGTAAGGATGAACTACAGACATCTGCTTTGGTGCTTCTGACCTGACTCTGGATGGGAGAACTTGACCCTGAAGGATGGCCACACATACATCTCCCACATAAGAAAGAAAAGCCTTCCATTGCCAGGTGTTTCTCAGTGCAGGAGGAGCCAAAAAACAAACCAACAACCCCCCAAATAACAACAACAAATAACCCACATGAAATGATCCTTAGCGAGAAGCAACATGCATACGTACCCTGAAACACTGGATGTGAAAATAGAGGTTGAGGGTCTCGATGGTCATTGCCGCGCCTTTACCTAACGCCAGCCCACAGGAAGAGCACAGCTTTCTCCCACTAATTGACCTGCATTTCAAAACACACATAACCGCACCATTTTACTCTACGATAACAAATATACAGTGAAAACAGGGTCGCTTCCAATGCTTCTATCACGAGTGAAATGAGAACCAGCTGACAATGAATAGGAAAGAAGGTATTAGATATATAAATTGCAATCAATGGCTAGATTGAATACAATTGGCTTCCACTGTGGTACAGGATCTGAGTGTGTATGTGTGTGTGTGTGTGTGTGTGTGTGTGTGATTTATTCCAAGAAGTTTGTGTGGCAGTTTTGGAATGATTCACTATATTGATCATACGTTTTATTTCCATTTATTTTTGTCAGTTGGGAGGCTTGAACTCAGGGCCTGGGTGCTGTGTGTCCCTGAGCTCTTGTGTTGAAGGCCGGTGCTCTACCACTCTGAGCCACAGCTCCACTTTCGTTTTTTTTGGGGGGTGGTTAATTGGAGATAAGTCTCATGGACTTTCCTGCCCAAGATGGTTTTGAACCGTGATCCTCAGATCTCAGCCTCCTGAGTAGCTAGGATTATAGGCATGAGCCACCAGCACTGGCTTGATTATGCATTTTTTATGACAAGCCCTAAAAGACAATCATGTTTAGTTTTACTAAGGTTCTCATGTTGCTTTAGGGCATTTCTTTTCATTTATCAAGGAAAAAGTGATTTTTCTTCATAAGTAGAGAGTCAATTGTGATAGAACAGAATGGGTAACAGGCAGAGGTATCAGGAAGAGGCCAAGGTCAGTAACACATCTGGAACCAGATGGTTATGCCCTTCAGGCAGCCTTTCTAGACCCAAGACTGCATGGCAACCATGCCTCATTGTCTGAAAAGCTCTGGGAATGACAGGATTTAAACATGCAATACTATTTGAAAGCCAAGAGGGTACAGAGAACACGGAAAGGAAGACCATAAAGGGAGGGCGGGGGAGATGTCCTAATCAAACTCAGTTCATGACGATCTCCCTCTTATCTCGTAGTTAAATAAAATTCCTGTATCAAATGAAAACCTGAGTACTCAGTCATTTGTCTCTGCAGTGGATGGAAATTCAGGCAGCTTTCAAGGACATCATGGGGCCCAACTAATGCCCAGAAGTGATCATGAGAGAGCTCCAATTGGTTCAGAGAGAAGAGTAGTGTTGGCTTTCATATAGCTTCTGCCTGGTTTTCAAGCAGCCACAGCCCATCCTACCCAGAAGGGCGCCGAAAGGCACCCATGGAGAAGCCCACCAGCAACTCTCTGGTGGCTTATTATTAGACTGCAGTTTCCCACAATGTAATTAAACTACTATGGCCATGTCTGTGCCCACGTTACCCACTTGGCTTTTTTCCACTGCAGGCTGAGGGGTGTTTTCTTTCATTTTGCTTTGGGGGAGCAGGGCGGAAATGTGGATGGATGGATCTCTCAAAATGGCTAAGGCTTGGCATAAGTCATGATGCCAAGAGGTGATACTTGGCAAGCTGCAGATGGAAGAAATCAGCCCAGGAAGGTGTGCTGACCTCTTGTACCTGTTTGGTGACTGTCCGGGAGGGGTAGGACAACAGGGGGAAAGAGGCCCAGCCTGGAAGTGCTCTCGAGGGCTTTTCCTGCAACATGGTAAAGGAGCCCCAAATTATGACAAGTTAAGAGAAGTTCAACTCCATTAGATTAAAAAAGAAAGGACCTCCAATCAGAGACCACAGAGTCTTCTAGTAGTATTTTGTTCTTAATTTTTGTTTTCTTTCGAGACACAGTCTCATAGGCAGTATAGGCTGGCCTGGAACTCACGATCCTCCTCCTTTAGTACTTTAAACTTCATGTTCTTGTTCAGCTTTTTTGCTCATGGCTGGCACTCTGCCATCTGAGCAATGATTTGAGTCTGGTATTTTCGCTAGATAGGATCTCGTGTATTTTTCTGCCCAGGCTGATATCCAACTGCAATTCTCAGATGTCTGCCTCCTGAGTAGTGAACATTACAAGCTTGAGCATGGGCACTGGCTAATATATATATTTTTTTAAAGAAGAAAAATAGTAATTCTGCCTAGTACCAACAATATGAAATCAAAACTAGGCAGGCATGCTGGTGTTGCTGATTAGAAAAAAGATTTTTTTTCTAATTTTTATTTCTTGTTAAATTCTTCTTTACTTAAAAACCACCTTTTTTTTTGATGTTCATGGAGCTGCTTTTGTATGCAGAGTAGATACAAATTATGGACTTGGTTAGAAAAAAAGGCAGGTAGGGTCACGGGGAAAACACAGAGCCAGAAATACAGGGCCCGTTTTAAAGAAGGTATTTTTCAGTCAAGCAGTTCCCTGGATTCATGTGATAGAGGGTATGTTCAAGTTTTCTTTTTTTTTTTTTTTAATTTTTGAGTGTCTAGTTATGTAGTCCAGCTGGCCTCAAACTTATGATCCTGTGCCTTCACCTCCTAATGGCTGGAGTTACAGGCCTGTGCTACCACAGCTAGCTGGACGTGTTTACAGCATGCCTCAGGCAGCCACAGATCAGAATGGTCCCCAGGCAGAAGCTGCCAGCACGGGTGTACAGGTGCAGCGGGTAGCATGGGAGCCATGTGGGTGCCTGGTTGTCAGTTCTGGGCTCAGGCTTTGAAAAGTTGACTTCATTTGTAAAGAAAGTGGTAGAAGAGAAAAACAGAAAAGAATGAGAAGACCAGAGTGTCGATGCAGATATAAAGAAAGCACATATCTCTCTCTCCTGCTTTCAACATAATTCTTCACCACATCTCCTGGCCACCCTGTGGGCCGCCCCCCCTTCCCATGCACCCCTGGCCCCAGACAGGGCTTGACCTTTCCAAAACATCATACTTTCCTACAGCGCCCCCAAGTGTCAGTAATGTTGCTTTAAAAAAGGTTTAAAATCATAATAACAGATAATAACATCAAAGTGTGTTTTCTGCTTCTATTGATTCTGGTACCCTAGACATCTAGAAATAAAACTAAGGTGAGCGGGCCTAACACATTGAATTGAGGAAAAAGAAAACCTAACAAGAAAAATGAGGTGAAAATGGAATGTTTTCCCCTATCACAAAGGTTTTCATCACCACCTAAGCTATGCTTCATAGTGCTTGCTGTTTGCTAGGCCTGAACTCCTATGAGAAAGGCACTGTTTATGAAGGAAGCTGCCCACAGGTCTGTGTGGGCAAGTGGCAGAGCAGAAACCTGAATCCTGGCATCTGGCTCGAGGTAGATGGTGGGTGAAAGCATAATGGATGTTATATTCTTGGAACGGTGATTACAGCATACCTCTGGCTTAAATATGATCTTCCAGTAAACTGATGAGTGAATTCCTCTACCACTTTGCCAGCCAGTTGCTTTGGGTAAATTGTTTAACGTGTCTAAATTTCATCACCATAAAATGAAAAGAATCTCATAAAGTTATTGGGAGGGTTCAGTGAGTGAATGTATGAAATACTTCATATAATTGAATGCTAACAACCAAACATCAAACTAATATTTAATACTATCTGTTTCATTTCACTAACGATATCATTATTTTTATAATATCTAATATTAACAATAAAATGAATTAAGCATTAATAAGTGTTTCATACTTGAAATGTTTGTGAGCTCATTAACACAGTGCCTATTAAACCGAAATGCTTCGGAGGCGGAAAGACTACTATTGTAAAAATACAGGTCTCACAGAATTAAAATGTAGCTTAGGGTAGCTAGCTTAATAAAAATGGGTAAGATTAGGAGAGACTAAGAATATCTTTTTTTGAAAGAACGTGTGACTACAAGCTCTAAGACAATTTAATGCAAATAAGTAACAAATATAAGAGATGTGTTTTCCAATATTTAGATTTGTGGGTTAAGAATATGCCTTTGATAAATGGATAAATTCAGCGTGAATTTGTACTTCCAAACCTTTCCTAGATATTTGCTACCTTGACAATAAGATTAAGTGTAGACAAAACACAAATGCTGCCAACCACTGGCCATTCACACATTTTCATATTTTCCCCTTCTATGTCAATTTTTTTTAAAAATAAAGGAGGCCCATGTGCATCTTATTTGTCTACTCACTTCCGCCGTTCACCAGGAGACTCAACCTGATGGTTAATGCTTTTATCCAGAGGGAGGGTTTTTGGTTTCACATCTTCTGACATGTGCATTGGTGGGCTGGATATCTGCGGATGCTGGGGCAGGCCTGAGATCAAGAAAAGAATTCTAGTTAAGTCACCTTTCTTTACAGTGCTAAAGCCTGCCGGGTTACAGCAATTCCCTGTGGGCTGTGGGCACAAGGTGGTTGGAGAGGCCCAGAGAGTGAATTAATTCTGGAAGCCAAGGAGATCTGAAGCCAGAATCTTTCACCTCACTGATAATATCTGATGTAACAATGATGATACTTAAGATACTGGCTTCATACGCATTGAAGAGAGCAAACCTGCATGGATGCGATTGTACTGTGGGCAGATCCAATTGTAACTTGGAACATCATTTCTACATACAGAAATACCCATTGCTTTCATTAACTCATGGATCATACCAACTATGATATGGTTTAGACTCCTAGGGCACCCGAGCGATGCTCTCCACACACACACACACACACACACACACACACACACACACACACACACACTTGTCTAGGCTCTTAAGTGATCATCAATTCACATAAATACACACATGGAAAAGTTTGTTAACTCTACCGCTAAAAAAAAAAATAGGTCTATTTGCTCAGTCAAATTTCTCTTGGCTATGCACACATTTATCACGGTCACTTCTTCCTTTCAGTTCACCCTCCCTCTTCGTATAATTTCTCTATACTCAGTCAAGAAGTGTCTACCAGATGCCAGTGTTCTCAAAGGTCCCTTCGTAGTACACAAACAAAATTACAAATGTAAGTAAAATAGTGAAATTGCTAACAATCCATCAGTGTGAACTGTAGAATCAATGAGGGACCAGCCTGAACGAGCCTTGAGCCATGGCTGTGACATAGGAAGACCCCATTCTCCGGGAACGATTCCAGAGATCAGTGGCATGCAGCCTTTGGTTGTTCAGTAAGGAATACCAGTGCATTTGAATTTTACTACAGTGAGTGAGTCTGGCAAGTAGGAGGCACCGGTGTGAACCAGGGGGTATGGGGAGCTGAGCTGTCCGCACCTTCCTGGCCATCCAGCACCCAAATCTCAACTCAGCTGTGCAGATTCCACTTCTCCATAGTTATGTGAGGGGATGATTAGATGATCCAATGGTAGAAGGGAGGGAAATTTGTGGAAGTCTTAAAATGCACTGTTTATGAAGATCAATTTTTTTTCTGTACAGTTATATCTTTTTTTAAGTGCCAATATCAGCTCAGGCCTCATCGGGACCTCGTTGCTATGCAGAGTATGTACCTAGCGGCAGTGGGGTGGGGTGTGGGGGGAAAATCTTTTAATAATTTAAATGTTGTGGCTCATACTAGGTGGGACCCTCTTCTCACTCTTACCCTGAGCTAGCTGTGGGTTCATCCCCCAGGGTGGGGTCCCGGCCTCCGCATCCAGGTCTTCATGGACTCCTTTTGACATGGGGTTTGTAGAGTGAGCCAGGGCCCCTGGAGTCAGGCTGTTAAAGAAACATCCATAGTTCAGCACAAAGAGGAAAGCAACTGGATTAAACTCACCGGTCCAGTTCCTTAAGGTCTGGAAGTACCAAATCTAATCTGATAAATGACAGTCTGACTTGTCCTTTATTCTATTTTTAAAAAAAATTTTAAACTAGATTTAAAAGATTAGAAAGTACTACACTTAAAAAAATTCACTTAAGAAGCTAAAAGAATTTTAAAAAATCCCTTCTGTTCTCACTGCCCACCATTCTCCTCATCGCGGGGGACGCCAGAGCAAATGGGAAGCTGTCCGATTCTCACAAAAGGAATTGTGGAAATCAATTGGGGCCACATAGTGCCTTTGTAGCCCGTGGTCATTTGTGGGCCTCTCAGTGGCTTTTGTGTGTTGGGAAAGGAGAGTGGAAGCAGATGAGGAAGTTTCTGGTGATGAGGCAGGAGGAGTCTAGCAAACATTCATATTGTATCCTTGTCTGAAGAACTAGCAAAAATGCACATAAAAATGTCTTTTGGCATCATTCAAAGTCTAGAAAGTCTTTACTCTGTTTTAGCTGGAAGCAAAGGTACTCATCCAAAGACAACACAGGCCCTAGCCACAGGCTCTTTGCTCCTAAAATTGTAACTGACAAGCACAGAATTCTGGGAGCAAAACCTCACCAGGAGAGCTCAGCTCCCAGATAGTATTTCACATGGGCCAGTGTTTGAAATGCCATTTTCATAGTCTCTTATGTCTTCAGGTCCCTCTGGGATACCGTACATGCACATGGATTCATGCATACTTGCTGATATCTAGCTATCTCAGACCTCAGGGGTAAACATCTGTCTCATCAAGGACACTGGGTTTTCTTCAGGTCCCTTCCAGGTCAGATATGATTAAGCATCAATAACTCCATCACCACCCATAGCTACACCCATCAGCTATGCACCAAAGGGGGATACTAGCAGCCAAATTCCAGCGCACAGTAGAACCACAGTAGGAGGGGACCAGGGCATCTTTTCAATCAATCTCTCTCCCCTCAGCTGCCTTCGTCATTTCTAGTAACTGATATTTAGGCACAGGGCTTGGAATTGACAATAACCTCCTCTGATGATCTATACCGTTCCTCCTTATTTAAAAAAAAGAAGTGTTGCCTATTTCAAAATAAGGCTATTTATATTCAAGAGCATAAGGACACTGACTTGAGAGCTATTACAATATGTTCAAGCAATATGTAATGTATTACTGGAACCATCATTTCAAAGCTGAATATGATTTGCATTCACAATGCGTCTGCTTCTTGGGAGAGCATGGGCAGAGCTAGGCTTGGAGAATTCTCTCAGACAGCCTGGTACAGCTCCTACCTGCCCTCCTCCTGCAGGGCACCGCTCTCCTCGGTCTTGAGCAATATGTCATTGTCAGCTCCCTGGAAGGCTTTCTTCTGACTTCTCTCTTTTTCTTCTTCTTGACAGTTTTCCAAGTCCATCTTGTTCTAATGGGGGAAACACAAGGGTAGTAATGAATATATGTTTTAAACACTCTGGACACACATTTACCTCTTGCCATAGGGATGCTTGAAACATCTTTTCCTTTTTTAAAATTTATTTTTGAAGCACCACACTTTTATCTGCCTCCAATTTAAAAAAAAATTATTAACATATGTTAAGATACAAATGGATGCAACTCACTGTGATATTTCTATACAGGCATCTCTAGTGCATTTATCATATCCATCTACCCTTCTACCCACCCTCCAGCCCCACTAGTTATTTTTCAATCATTTCCTATCATGTAGAAACAAGTCATCCAAGTGAGCTGTTTCCAGTGACTTCTAACCATTTAGAATCTATGTTGTGTCTGGAGCTCTCAAGCATTGAATTTGTTAGAATTGGTTAGAAAACCCCTTTTCAAAATGAAGCCATGGGACTGCTTATTTCAGGATAAGTGACTTTGTAGTGTCTGGGTGTTTCATTTTTTGCAGATTATGCACAATTGTCCAGTATCTCCATGACCTTCTTAGACAATATGGTGGTAGACTAGGCTTTCTAAGCTCCTTCCAGCCCCCAGAGACAACAGTGAATTTCTTGTGGAGTCTTTTTTTTTTTTTTTTTTAGAAGCAACTTTATTGAGAAGGTTGCTACACTGACTGGCCAGGTCCGCAGCACAGGCTTGGGAGCTGATACTGCGACCTGTAGTCTTTTATAGAGGACACAGTTAGGGAGGATGGTGGAAGGCATATTTTGGTCATCTCTGTTGCTGTCATAGACGACAAAGCAATCCCCAGCATTGTCTGATGAAGGAATGAGAGATCCAGGAGCTGGGCAGGGAGAAGGACCTTGAAGAATATGTATCTACTTGAGATCTTGCTAGCCTGAGCGAGTAGGTCTGACAGTATGATGATTCTACTGCTTCTCAGGTAGGGAGTCTATGATTTGGTCCTGGCTGTGACAATACTAATGGGTGTGATGGCCATGTAGAATGTGACTGGATTCAGAGGAATAACTAGTCATGGTTAAGCTGCTGGGGTTTTTATGGCGAAGCTAACTTTGTGGTTTTAATACTTCTCTTTAGGTTTAATTGTGTCGCAGGTGGTTTTGAGCCAGTGTGGTCTCACCATTGTCCCTCCACCTTCGGTTACAGAGGAAGATGTAGACAGCTGGTCTGCAGAACTTGAAGATATAGTAAATGGAACCACAGTGTCTTCAATTATCTTACGCTCCTAAGGGGAAGGCACGGAATCAGTGAAAGGTAGGAAGTTGTATTTGTTAAGAGAAAAAATTCAGGAAGGAAATTCAGGGGGGAAAAAGCAGCAAAATTTGTCATGTATCAACAAGCAGAGTGTTTAAGTCCTTATTTTCTCAAAGACTACAAATCATGTAGCACTCGCTATGCGCAATAAGTTAGCAGTTAGCACTGAGTTTAGAGAAATAAAGTCTGGATTAGTGCAACCCAAGAAACCCAATTGAAAATGCTATTGGGGATCTGACTATGCACAAAATTATTTTTGAAGGTGAAATTCACAACACTGATCATAAACAAAGCTTAGATAATACACATAAAATGTAGTTCACTGCAAATTTTCTAATGTGGTTGGTTTATTCATTTAAAAATGTAAAGAAGCAAAATAAAATTACCCTATATGAATCTCCTTGATGCTACATAATGAATGCAGTCTGTAACAAGGAGATATTCATTTGTCCTTGAAATCAAACATCCTATAAAATTGGCTCATTATCAAATGGACTTGCTACAAAAAAAATATACACATAAGCAAATGAATTGATTCTTTGATGTCTTCTCTCTTAGGCAGATCAAGAACCAGACTATGACTGGAGACTAGATATAATTTCATTGTTTTTTTGACTATCGGTCAACACATCTTACCCCAACTTATATTTTGAGGCTACTGTGGTCTTTTAGAGCCTATATGATATGCTTTTTTTTAAAGCAATTGCGGGGAGGAGGGGGACTCTATGCACTGACATAGCTATACGCACGCACACAGCACAGACAGAAAAGGCATGGCAAGGTGACAGTCCTAGGGTTTTCCTACCTCCTCATAGTATCTGCGCTCTTCCTCTTCCACCTCCTTTTGGGCTTTCTCCCACTCTTCCTTCAGCTTGTCCTGCTCCTTCTGGTATCTCTCCTGTAATTGCACAGTGGCCGCAGAGTGTCTGACATTGACTATGGCATAATACCATTGGGATTTTTTTCTTCTTATTCTTCTAAACTACCAGAAGACTTGTCTTCTTGTAACATTCAGAATCTAGTCAATTCCTGATATGAAAGGCGAGCACTGTTTTGTGCTGTTCAAACATTTTAGTTTGAACATAAAAATCCAGTGGAGAGCAGTTATTATTATATTATTTGTGTTTTAAAGAATTGCCCTTTAGAGGGCTGGGAAGGTGGCTCAGTGGTAGAGCGCTTTCCTTGCATGCATGAGGCCCTGGGTTCGATTCCTTAGCACCACATAAGCAAAAAGACAAAAGCCGGAAGTGGCGCTGTGGCTCTAATGGTAGAGCGCTAGCCTTGAGCTGAAGAGCTGAGGGACAGCGTCCAGGCCCAGAGTTCAGGCCCCACAACCGGACCCAAAAAAAAAAAAGAATTGCTGTTTAGATAGAAAAGTAGAGGTTTGCTTGTGGAAAGGGAAATAAAAATGAAAATCTTTAATTAGGGTCTTGTCCTAGGTAGGCTAAACCAACAGTTTAGCTTCGCTGAGTTTTGGCATGTCATTAACAGGAAAGCATTGCTGTGCTGAGGATGTAGCTGAGAGGTAAAAAATTTCCTAGGCTCGAAGTTTGATCCTCAGCACTGGAAACGGCAACAACAAAAAACACTGGTGCTGGTAGAAGTCAATACACTGTATTATAGACACTAGGTTTACAAGATAGAGTAGAAAGGTGAACAGTGGACAAGAAGATAATCAGTTAATTGACTCCATTGATCACTAGCACAATGAGATCTACCTAGCTTTAGGTAACTTTGAATTAAGAGCAGCTTTTCAAAAGCCTCATGGAAATGCTTTCACACCACAGCTGTCATGCTTGTGTTTACAAATGGTGTAACACTTAGCCCTTCTGGGGGGATAAAAGAAAAATACTTCCAATAAGGCCATATAAGAAGTGTGACTGGAGCCCTGGAGAAGCTGACTGGAAGGAATGAATAAATAGAGATTAAAATCAAAGCTGAGCCTGGTGCCAGTGGCTCATGCCTGTAATCTCAGTTACTCAGGAAGCTGAGATCTGAGGATCATGGTTCGAAACCAGCTGGGGCAGGAAAGTCAGTGAGGCTCTAATCTCAAATTACTCACACACAAACAAATCAGAAGTAGAGCTGTAACTCAAGGTGATAGAATAGTAGCCTTGAGTACAAAAGCTAAGGGATGGTACGCAGGCTCTGGCCCAGAGTTTAAGCTCTAGGAATGATATGTGTGCACCATGTGTGCACATGTGTGTGCGTGCACACACACACACACACACACACACACACACAATCAAAGCTTGAGCTAAGGGCTCGCCATACATATAATCCTCGCTATTCAGGAGGTTCAGAACCAGCCCAGACAGACAAAAACCAAGGGACTCTTATCTCCAATAAACTGGCAAAGAGCAGGAAGTTGTAGAGCACCAGCAGTGAGCAGAAAGAGCTAAGTCAGAGTGTTATGGTCCTGAGTTAAAACTCTAGTACGAGTATAAGAAACAAAATAAATAAAAATACAGTAAAGCTTGAAAGGAGAACTGACATCCTAGAGGCCTTGGGAATGGCATCCTGAGAAAATGGAGATACAGAGTCAAGAGTATGTGCCACACACACTCCATCATCCATTGGCTATTGGCAATCCTCTCTGAGGCTGAGACCCACTTGCTTGTTTCTTTGCTTGGGGAAGGTAGGGAGATTCCTCCAGGAATGATATGTTATGCCACAATCTTAGAAACAAAAGGACTTCCTTCCGTGGGATGTCGGCAGGCTGGTGTTTTTCCAAACATTCTAGCAAAACCACAAATTGGTCAACCCATGTGAAAACTTATTACCCAAACTGAACGCTGGGAAGTTTTAGAGTAGACTTCAGGAGCTTTTCACAATAGGAAAACAGACTTAAAAATTACACCAAGGCTAATAAACAATTGAAACTGACAAGTTACACTTTTGGGTCCAATAGTTCTTGGCACCTCCATTAACTGAGATGTAGCTTCTCTCCGTCTCTGTGGCTCTCTGTCTCCGTTTCTGTCTCTCTCTGTCTGTCTGTCTCTCTCTCTCACACACACATACCTTCATTCCTTCTTTCTCTCACAAATACCAGAGCCTACAAAATCATAATGCCACCATGTAAGTAAGGGCAGGAGTGACAAGGGCCAGCTGTCCGTGACTACAAGCAAGCATGCCCACCTTTGGAAGATAGAACGTACACAGCATGCCCATCTTCTTTCCTCTGGAGCATGTGTGACTTCTGACTGTTCATCACTTAGCCCAGGGAGCAAGCACTTCATTTCCAAGACCACAGCAGAGGGCCAGGGTTCCCAACGAACCCCGAAGTCCCAACAGCTCTGGGAATTGGCTTCTTACGGAGTGTTTCAAAGGTGCCAGCCTTAACTTCAGAATAAATGCCACACTACAACTCTCTAAACTACTCCTCTACCCCTTGCATTCAAGCCAAAAGGATGAAACAATAAATTGAAGAAAAAGTAAGTAAAATAAAGTTGTATTAAGCATCACTTTTCACACAGTAGAAAGTCAGCAAAGCTAATGAAGTTTGAATTCTTCTCCTTTAGGATTTTTTTTTTTTTTTTGGCTGCTTCAATGCTTTGGGAGAATAGTGAGATGAGCGTGGGTTTTAGAGTTTTGTAGACTTGGATCTGAGTCTAGGCTCAATGTCTCTTTGCTGTGTGAGTTCGGAAGCATTAATGTAACTTTTATGAGTCTTGGTTTCTGTGTAATTGTAAATGAGGACCAATCAGACTACTTTGAAGGGTTGAATGAGGATTAAATTAGATGAATGATGTCTAGTGCCAAGTGCAGTTCCTGCCACATCTGGAGTACTCAACATAGATTAGGTTTTAATTTACTATGTTGCTTTGGGAAGCCCTGTTAATCCAGGAAACAGATGTGAATTAAGAGCAAGATAAATTTCCTCCCAGGAGTCCCAGAGAATTGATAATCCAGCTACTTTACTCAACGATGGAGCAGATTTCTACTTAAGGAACTAGACAAAGGCCAGATTTTAGTCTTCCTTTATGCCCTTAAATAGCTTTTGGGTAATTCCTTCTTGCAGTTAGTTTGTCACTGAAAATTAGTGACTAAGAAGGTAACAAAAGGGCAGACTGATCCTTAATCAATGCTTGGAGGTGTTCTGCATGTCAATGTAAAGACTTTTCCTTTCTCTTCACCAGAGAAGCTTTCGGCAGGAAGAGTTAGTTATGGGACACTGTTGAATCTACAGACTGATGCATCAGATTCCATCTGCTTCCTGTCCTAGAAAATCTATTCAATGCACCAGAAACGAAGAGAGAATTGTCAAGAGGAAAAGGTAATGAGGTACACCTAGTCCTACCTGGAGCAAACGTTCCTGTTCCTGTTGCCATTTTTCCTGTCGTCTGCGCTCTTCTTCCGGGTCCCATGCCCAGAACTTAAACTGCTCCAAACACAAACAAAACAAAACAGAAAACATTCAGGATCAGAAGGGAACACATCCTCACAGACCATCCAGAGGAAGAGAAGGCAAATAGTTTCCAGCCTGGTCCCGCGGGTCACGGGAACAGAAGGCTTTGCATAGCTAAATGTCTGCTTTGGTGGCACCAAAATGTTGGTGTGAATCTGTGACATGTTTTGGTGTCTCTATGCCAGTACTGAAGGCCTGAACTCAGGGCCTGGGTGCTAACCCTTAGCTTTTCCTCTCAAGGCTGGGGCTCTACCACTTAAGCCACAGCTTCATTTCCTGGTGTTTCCTGATGGTTAGTTGGGGGTAAGAGTCTCACAACTTCCCTGTCTGGGCTGACTTCTAACAATGATCCACAGATTTCACTTTTTGAATGTCTACAGAAATGTCTCTGAGTATTAACTTCTACCAGCGTATCCAGTTTAAATGCTTCTTTTAGAGTCTGCTTTTCTGACTTTCCATTTGGTTTGTAGGCTTGATGATAATCTTGTAGAATCATGGCCCCCATCTCCACAATGGCCTGGCAGCATGAAATTATTCTCTGAAGATCAATTGTCTTTTAAATCTCTTATTTGGTTGAATCTTCTTTAAGATAACCAACTATATTATAAATTAAAGTCACACAAAATGCACCGTCTTTCTTCTTAAAGTGAGATACTGCCGGGTGCTGGCCTGTCATCCTACCTACTTAAGAAGCTGAGATTTGAGGATCATGGTTCAAAGCCAGCTCAAGCAGGAAAGTTTGTGAGACACTTAGCTCCAATGAACCACCTGAAAACCAGAAGTGGAGCTGTGACTTGAAGTGGTAGAGCTCTAGCCTTGAACAAAAGAGCTCAGGGACAGTGCCCAGGTCCTGAGTTCAAGCCCCAATGACCAGAGAAAAAAACAAACCCAAAAGGAGATACTTACAGGTGTAGTAACAGGTGACTTTTCACTGCTTGGAGAATCCACTGTACAGAATAAAGGAAGGAAAAATAGATCAATATGAGTAGCTTCTAATTTCTCTTTTATTTGTATCCTCTTCACGGAGGTCTTATGTCAGTTTTAGACCTTTTGTTTTTATTTTTGGAAAATCCAGGGTATCAGGAAATCATAATAAAGCAGACCTTTGCAGCAGCTATACCATCACCCAAAGCCAGGAACAGTGTACCGCTGACCACATCAGCACCAGGCACTAGACTTACGAAGCAATTGCTATGGCTACTGTGCTGGCTCTTAATGCACCTTACTCCAGCATGACTGGGCAGTCCCCTCATGTCTGACCTGCAGGTGTAGCATAGAGAGGCCATGTGTCATCCAGGAAGGACAGAAAGTGACACAGTTAACAAGAGAGACAGAACCACTTTCTGCTAAGTGTTTCCAGTCTTTGTTTGAAAATGAAGGGGTTAGCTAGGCACCAGTAGCTCATGCCTGTAATGCTAGTTACACAGGGGGTTGAAATTGGAGGATCGTGGTTTGAAGCCAGCTCCTAGGCCTCTTATCTCCAATAAACCAGCCAAAAGACAGAAGTGGAGGTGAGGCTCAAGTAGTACAGTGCCAACCTTGTGTAAGAGAGAGTGCCTTGGTCCTGAGTTCAAGCGCCAGTACTCACAGACACACACACAAATGTTGTGTCTTTGCAATCTTAAAATTAACAGAGAATTCTATGGATCTTCTCCAAACTTGAGTGTAATTGGTGTTGATATTTTGCTATGTCAGAAATAAGCACTCTTATTTTTTTTGTCTCTCTCTCTCTCTCTCTCTCAAGTCAGAAATGAGGACAAATGCCGGAAATCATTGGTGGCCCAACAAGTATTTTCATACAAAAGAACCACAGCTACCTAGAATAGCGTTTACCTGACTGCGAGAAAAACTGGGACCGTCGCCAAGAGTTCTGAACTCTCAGCGGCATGCTGGCAGGGCCAGGCGGCTCTGGATCAGATGCAGAACAGAACAAACAGAAAACCATGAAACCAGGCAAGAACTGGACCAAACCACGTGACACCCAGGAATCAAGAGTCAGGGACCCTCACATACTCAAACACATGCAAGGCCTGAAACCCTGACAAGGGTCAATGAAAACCCCGACAGCTTGTGCACCTGCTCTCTGACTGGGTGCTTGGTGAATTTAATACTCAGATTTAATGGGGATTCTGTTTACTTGTGAAATCTGAACATACAGAGTTTGTGTGGGTATAGGGGATGTTGGAAAGGTCTAAGGGGTAGTAAAGTAGTAGTAGTAGTAGTAGCAGTAGTGTGTGTGTGTGTGTGTGTGTGTGTGTGTGTGTGTGTGTGTGTAGGGTGTTACTGGGGCTTGAACTCAGAGCCTGGCTGTTGTCCCTCTGCTTTTTTTCATTGAAGGCTAGCACTCTACCACTTTGGGCCACAGTTCCCCACTTTTGTTTTTGTGGTGGTTAATTGGAGATAAAGAGTCCCCATAGATTTTCCTATCATGATCCTCAGGTCTCAACCTCCTGAGTAGCTAAAATTCCAGGCATGAGCACTGGTGCCTGGACCCCATCTGATTTTTATGAAGATGATTGTGGAAGGTAACATCCATCTTCCTTTTATATGTAGAGAAGAAATGTGCCTATGTGTATATGTGGTGCATCTAACCTAAAGCGTTTGTGTCCTTTCAACTCCGGGTTAGCCTGGCTCTGACATAATATTATCAGTAATCTTTCTACTGCTTTGAGAGAGTTGAGAAGAGGAGATTTGTCAACTTTCACTGCATTTTATTAATGTATTCAGCGTATGTAAAACTATATTGATGTGTGTGTGTGTGTGTGTGTGTGTGTGTGTGTGTGTGTGTGTGTGTTCAAGGGAAAACCATGGAACATCATTAGAGTCAACAGTAGACTGTATACAATCAGTGGGATGAACAATCTATAGACAGGTGAATTTAAAGAAATAGGAGAGCTGCTAGGTGCAGTGGCTCACCTCTCTAATTCCAGCCACTGGAGAGGAAGAGGTCAGGAGAATCACAGTTCAAGGCCAGACCAAATAAAATCTTAGGAAGACCAGTCTTGAATAGTAAAGCATGTGCTGTGATTCACAGCTGTATCCCCAGCTATGCTGGAGGGCTAGGCAGCAGACGGAGTGCCTGAGGCTAGCCCCAGGCAAACATGCAATATTCTGTCTTAGAAAGGGCTAGAGGGGGAGCTCAGGTCATTCATTTAGTGCCTAGTTAGCAAGCGAAAGGTCCTGAGTTCAAACCCCATGTCCACCTTCACCCCAAATGGGGGAAATATAAATTTTTAGCTATGACTCCAGGATTCTTTCCTGACTGTATGGTTCCCTGAGATTTGCGGCTGGACTTTAGGGTCATTTAGATGTGTACTGGCTTATATATTTGGACAAAGACTCATTCATTACTTGCACTCATCCTTGCCCCAATGAAAGATAAATATGTCTTTTGTGTGTGTGTGCCAGTTCTAGGGTTTGAACTCAGGGCCTGGGTGCTGTCCCTGAGCTTTTTTTGCTCAGGCTAGCACTCTACCATTTGAGCCATAGCTCCACTTTCAGCTCTTTTTTGTTGTTGTTGTTGCTTAACTGGAGATAAGAGTCTCAATGGACTTTCTGGGATTGGCTTTGAACCAAGATCCGTAGATCTCAGCCTCCTGAGTAGCTAGGATTACAGGTGTGAGCCACCAGTACCCAGTCAAATCATGTCTTTTAAGGTAACTTCTTGCTTCTGGAAAGACTGGAGCTTTACAAACTCCAAACAAGTATAGCTGTTATTTTTAGAGCTATCAACCATGTCTTTGAGCCACCCTTTACATAAATCAATTTTTCAAGTCAGAGGTTTTCATGGTATGGTCCCTGAGTCTACCATACCAGCTTCCTCTTATTATAGCTTGTTAGAAGTGTCAACCCTGGCTCCTGTCCAGGCTCACAGAAGCAGACATGGTCTGGGTGGTCCCAAACCTAGAGCTTGGGCACATTCATGGTGTCTTGGAAATAATAAATATATGAACACTCTATGAAAACTCAAATTGACAATAGAAGTGGCGTACTATGGATCATAAACTTTAAGAAGTCTTACTGATTTCTTTTAGATTTTTAAATTTTTTTTATGTTTTGGAGTGAATACAAAAGCTTTTGTTTTTCTTTGTTGGTCGTGGGGCTTGAACTCTGGCCCTGGGTACTGTCCCTGTGCTCTTAAGCGCAAGGCAAGTGCTCTACAACTTGAGCCACAGCGCCACTTCCAGTTTTCTAGTGGTTACTTGGAGATAAGAGTCTCATGGACTTTCCTGCCTGGGCTGGCTTTGAACTGCGATCCTCAGATCGCAGCCTCCTGAGCAGCTAGGTTTACAGGCATGAGCCAGCGTGACCAGCTTACAAAAAGTTTATAAGGTCTCAAATCCTTATTCAGACCCTCTTTGTGTCCATAGTCTATGGCAGACTCAGAGGCCTTAGCAGTTGGAATTTGCTTGGCCACATAGAGAATTCACCCTTAGCTGTCCATTCTGAAATTCTTAATTCAACCATCACAGACTCTGCAAATACCATGTCGAAAGGAGCATCAGTTTAAGGGGAATAACCATCATTTAAAATAAAGAATATTTTACACAGAGGGGCCCAGACAAATGTGAAGAGCTAAAGCATTTCCTTCTCCTTACCTTGTGAATTCAGATTTGGCAAGTGTAGTTGGTTGGATTCGGGCATTTTATCCAGATATGGAAAGGTCAAGGTTGCTTCTGGCTCTGGAGATTTTGGCTTTACCACCTGGATCATGGACACCAGACATAAACATTATTATGTATTGATCATTAACAAATGCAACCTAAGGTAGACTTTAAGAAGTCAATTAAATGTAAACATTTAACTTTTCCATGGACTTTTGTTGTTGTTCTTTCCCTAAAACTCTTTGGCTTGACTATGTTCACAGAGGTCAGTTTTTCAGAGAAATAAAACAAGGGCATAAAAACAAGTGATCCCTTTCTTCAAATCGAGAAGACAGGAGCTTCATCTTTACAACTATATGTTACTCTCTCCTCTGTTTATTGGCCAATCACATATTTTATTTCTAACACCACACAATACTAACATATCATGTCAGGAAATGAGATGTTCCAGATTGAAAGGATCTGTAAACATAATTTTTGAAAACCTTACTCTACAAGTACTAAACATTACAGTAATATCATCATTTTAATGCTCAAGATACTACTCCACCCCTCATAAACGTCCGTAAAGCACATTGTTTTACAAAGGAATAGTTTCAATGAAATAAGAAAACAAAAGCTGTTGTATCTACCATGGGTGAGTCTTATATAAGAACTAACAGTGACTCTGCTTGTTGTCAAAGCAGCAGTAAGCACAAATAAGCATCAAACAGTGCTGAGCAAGGCTGGCCTGAGGAAAGTATGTTAGACTATGTGTCCTTGTGGCAAATCATTCCCTAATTTCTAGCTTAAAAATTCCTTGCTTGCTTAATTAAAAAAATCAAATCAAAAAAAAATCAAATCGTTTCAATAGGGATACAGGTGGACCCATTGCAACAATGAGATGTACAAATCGTTATATCGAAAAACAAACTTTACAACTTTGGCCGTGGGGTGGGGGGGAGGTGTAGGGGAGGTGGGCGGGGGAAGATGGGAAGGGATGGGAAGGGGAAATAAAGGAGGTTTTTAATAAAGAAAGAAAAAAATTTAAAAATAAAAAAAATGCATGTGCCGGGTGCTGGTGGCTCATGCTTGTAACCCTAGCTATTCAGGGGGCTAATATCTGAGGATGGCGGTTCAAAGCAAGCCTGGGCAGGAAAAGTCTATGAGACTCTTATTTCCAATTAACCACCAGAAAACTGGAAGTGGTACTCAGCTGGTAGAGCACTCACCTTGAGCTGAAGAGACAGTGCCCAGGCCCAGAGTTCAAGACCCACAAGGAATTTTCATATTATATAAATATATATAAACACATATGTATACATATATGTTGTATATATTATATATATGCATATACATACATATATATTTATATATATGAGGACAGTAGAGCATTTATTTCATCAGAATATGAATTATCCTTTGGTTCTGAGGATAAATAAATGAGTTTTTTTTCTCGGTAGGATTTTATTTTTCTTTATTAATAATATATCCAATCCTAAGAGAATCCTGAAGAAAAATAGTCAACCACCTCATTCTGCATTGCTGAGGTCAACCAGATGTCTGAATGAACTTCAATTATGAGATATCTAGGAAAGCTAAGGCCTGGTCTTTTCTAAGATGACAACTCTCAGATCTTCATCTAATGCATATTATTTCTTCTGTGGTAAAGGCAGACAAAAATACATTTCAGGGGGCTGGGAAGGTGGCTCAGTGGTAGAGTGCTTGCCTTGCATGCATGAGGCCCTGGGTTTGATTCCTCAGCACCACATAAGCAGAAAAAGCTGGAAGTGGCGCTGTGGCTCAAGTGGTAGAGTGCTAGCCTTGAGCTGAAGAGCTGAGGGACAGTGCCCAGGCCCAGAGTTTAGGCCCCATGATGGGCAAAAAAAAAAAATTCAGATAAATGAAACAACGAATGGTCAGCAGAAATGCTCAGAATGATGCTAGAAAGAAAAGTCAGCATGCCTGCAATCCTAGATACTCAAGGAAGCTGAAATCTGAGGGTCACAGTTCAAAGCCAGCCTGGGCAGGAAATTTTGTTAGACTCTTATCCCCAATTAACCACCAGAAAACTGGACGTGGCTCTGTGGCTCAAGTGGTGGAGTGCTCGACTCAAGCTGAAGAGCTCAGGGATAGTGCTCAGGCCTAGAGTCAAGCCCCATAACTGACCAAAAAAGAAAAAAGAAAAAGAAAGAAAAGTCAGCTTGCTGGACTGGGAAGATTGTTTTACAAGGGTATAGCTTCAAGTGAAATCAGAAAATAAAAGTTATTATATCCACTGTGAGCACTGTGATGTAAAAACTACAGGAGGGCTGGGTGGAAGGGGAGAAAGTCATATGGTGTGGGTGGAGATGCTGGGCTCCATCTGTTAATTAACTAGCAGGAGTTTTCACCCTGGAGTCCAAGAATGGAATTTGGGGCGCTGCATAGCTTGACAGCAAGGACAACTCAGCAATTCTTGTGTATCTCATTTTATGCTTTAAATATATTAATCTGTGGATAATGTTTGCTAGATAGCCAAAGGCTTCAGAGCAAAAAAAAAAAAAGAAAACAAAAACCCACCCACCCACACACTCAACCAATCAGCAACCAACCAATCAAGCAAGCAATAAACAAAACAAAACAATCTAAACTTGAGTGCTTCTGAAGCTAAAATTTCCCATAGTGGTATAGATGGGGCATAGCTAAAGGTGGCTGTAACACAGTTAAGGGCAGATGACGAGAAATGCCAATTCTATGGTGGCTGCCAACCTGTTTGATAAAAGTATTCTGCCTATAAAATAGGAATGCGAAGGTGTTTTCCTTTCATTTTGGATTTAAGTGGAAAAAATTAGTTTTCAAACATAATAAAGGGAGCAAATATATTTTGGATAAGGCGTTCCTGAAGAAGATGGGAAACTGCCCCTGAGCGACTGTTTGGCCTACAGTTTAATTTGTCTTTACAGACCTCCAGACCATTCTCCAATTCTACACAGAAAATAGCAAGAGTCTGAAACACCCACCACACATCAAGGCACCAGGCATTTTAGAGGCTCTGCCAGTGGCCCATCATTCTTAGCTCTGTAGGGCTTTGGGGCTGTGTGGTATTCACTGGTGAAGGTCTCAGGTACCTGACACAGCAAAATGGCTCAGTAACTTACATATGAATTTTAACCCCCTTGGTAAAATTTTCACTTCAAAGTCAAGTCCAAATGTAGGACTGATTTTTTTAAAATTTTGTTTGTCCATCTTTTGGCTTGAACTCAAGGATCTAGGGGCTAGCTATTCCTGAGTAATTTTGCTGCAGGACCTGCAGGACTGATTTTCAAGGTGGAATCTTACTACATATCATTGGCCACAGTTTTGCCAGACAGTGTCTCTCCATCTTGGTGGTCTGTTTATCTGGGAGCTTTAAAAAATTACAGATACCAGCCAGGTGGCAGTGACTTATGCCTGTAATCCTAGCTACTCAGGAGGCTGAGATCTGAGGATTGCAGTTCAAAGCCAGCCTGGGCTAAAAAAGCTGTGAAACTCTTATCTCCAATAAACCACCAGAAAACTGGAAGTGGTGCTGTGGCTCAAGTGGTAAAGTGCTAGCCTTGAGCTGAAGAGCTAAGGGACAGCACCCAGGCCCAGAGTTCAAGCCCCATGACCTACAGAAAAAAAATACAGATACCTGGGGCCTGCCTCCAGGGATTCAAATCTATTGGTCTGAAAGGGTCTTGGTATAATTTTTTTCCAGTTCTTTTCTCTTGTATTTGTTTATTTAATCCTTAAGTAGTTATACAAAGAGGTTTCAATTCAACATGTCAGTTTGTGATTACAATCCATGTTTATCCATGTTTTACCAGTCTCTCTCCTCTCTCATTATTTCACTCATCCCCTCAATTTACCAAGTTGCATTTTTACACACACACACACACACACACACACACACACACACACAACACACACAACCCCTCCCCCCACAATACACTGAATGTTATGGATACAGTCATAATTTTTTTAAATTCTAGGGGGAAGCCAAATTTGAGAACACCTGGAGTAAATTTTAAAGCACACCTAACCAATGTGAGTGGTCTGATTCCAAACATGGAAGAATAAAAATTAAAAAGACTTTTAAACCCATTATATCAGAAGAACAACTTCTTATGTATTCTATTATTCAAATCCTGTGACATCAGAAGTACCATTGCTAAAAGCTGGTTAACACTGAAAAGAGAATATTAGTAACCTGATGAGTTAAAAGTAAAAAAGACAAGCTAACACACAGCAAAATGAAGCCTGTGAGGCTTTTAAACTTATATTTAAATTACATTTTAATTTTAACTGCATTAACTTCTTAAAAATTGATACATTAGAATATACTTGAGATGTTTAGCACATGTTTTAATGTATACCTTCCCTTTCTACATTTACTTTGCGTGTGCATGTACCAGTCCTGGGGCCTGAACTCATGCACTGGGCATCCTTTCTGAGCTCCTTTTGCTCAAGGCTAGCTATCACTTGACTCATTTTTGGGGGGGATTAGCTTAGTGGATTTAAGAATCGCATAGACTTTGGTCTCGGTTTGGCTTCAAAATGTGATCCTCAGATTTCAGCCTCCATATTTGTCTCATAGAAAGAACATAGACTAGAGAGGAGGAAGATGAGGGGAAAAGAAACTTTAATCATCCATCAGAGCCATAGCAGCTGCAGGATGAGACATAATAACACCTGCATTTACTTTACCTTTTGTGACAGCACCAGCTCTACTTTTCCACCCATTTCACTTTCTGGCTTTCTCTGGTCTTTTTCTTCTTCTGGCACATCATTTTTCAGCTGGGGACTGGAGGAAAACTCCACAAAGGCCACTGTTGGGCTGCATCGAGTCACAGTTGTCGTAAAGTGCTGTGGCTCTGAAAGGGAATTGAATGCAGAGACGGAACATTGGAAAGCAAATCATAGAAAGAACCATTTTTTGTATGGTCAAGGAAACGTTTAGCCCATATTCCCTCCCCCTCCACTGCCTCCTTCCCCAATCAGAAGCTGGATTGCAGTGTGGGCTGCGTAGCAATGAGGCTGAGGTGCCAGAATCCTCCAAACTCTTTCTGGATATTACAAGAAAAGGTGATTAAAAAAAAACTCCCACCAAAGAACCTCCCTTAGTGGGGCTAGGTCTTCTGCAGAATCACCTGAATCGAAGAACACAGCACACACTTAATGACAGTTGGGGTGGGTAAGAGATCATTTCTGCCACCAGGACGGAGTGGCAGCCTAGCCTTTCCTTTTAACATCACATTTTCTTCACTGGAATGTGCCAAGGATTGTGGGACTGGGGTGTTGAGCCCACTGAAAGCCAGCTATTCGCTGACATATAAAGAACTGGGTGTCACCAGGAATGTCACCAAAATGTTGGAGGCTAGCTTAGGAACACACATGCTATTATTTGTACTAATGACATAATTGATCTATTTTAAAATGCCATTTAAGAATGATTTGGTTCTGGGAGGGGGGAATGTTTTCACACTTATCAAAAGAAAAAATTATAAAATAGTGATAAAATTACACACACACAAAATTGAGGAACAATACTTTAGGAAACAGATTGTGCCCTTTTCAAAACAGGGATAGAATATATTATTACTCACTAACCAGATTCATAACATTACTTTTACACAACACACATAGACACACACACATATGTATGTGGTGATGGGGACCAAAACTTCACACACACACTAGACAAGCACTCTACCACTGAGTTACAACCTCTGCCAAAGCTTTTCCTGGGGCCATGCAGGGGTTTTAACTCAAGCCCTTTCCTTGCTAGGCAAGTGCTCTATTACTTCAGCCATGCCCCCAGCTCTCCTCAGACTTTTTATTAAATATATTTGATGTATGTCTTATCTATTACTGTTACAGTATGTCAAAACCTTTTTAGAACTGTTTATGGAAGAAAATACCTGTTTATTATTAGGATGAAGATACATTTTCTAGAGATAACACATTTTAGAATTGTTTATGGAAGAAAATACCTTTTATATGGATGAAGACACATTTTCAAAAGATAACTCATAGAACAGCAAAAACAACAACAACAACAAGCCTTGGGCTCCTAATAGTACAGCATGAATACTTTGGTGGCAATTTCATCAGGGAGCCTCTAGGTGGCAGCACTCCCCCACCACTTGCAGAGACTTACTTCTACCTTCTGGTTGGTTAAATAGGAAAAATGGCGCTTTGCTTTAAAACAAGTGGGCATGGCAACAATGAGATGTACAAGACACTACGATGAAAACGAGCTTTACAACTTGGGTGGGGGGTAGTTGTGGAGGTGGGAGGGAAGGGATGGTATGGGAAAAACAACGGAGGAGGCAACAATGCTTGATAGGAAATGCACTCATTACCTTGCGCATGTAACTGTAACCCCTCTGTTCAGGATTTTCACAATTAAAAAAAATGCACACAAAAAAACAAGTGTGCAATGAGACAAACCTGCTGTGTCCAGCCCTGTGTTCTCTTTTCCTGGGTTTCCTCCATCATTCTTATCCTCTTGGCTGTTCAGTTTGGTTTCCTCCGCCATCTCCTGAAAAAAAAGATTATTTTCACACTCTGAATTAAGTATTCCTTCGAAGGCTCTAAAAAGGAAAAGTTTTTGTTCTTCCTTAATACTAATTTTTCAGGGCAACATGGTATTGTATTTTCAGGGAGCCTGTAGAGGGAGCCTGTGTGTGCTGGCATCCCCACTCCTCCTTTGCCCACCAAAGATTCTAAACCAATTGCCATCCACTTGCTCCTCAGTGCCTTTCATGGTGATGTAGAGACACACCACTAGTGAAGTGATCTTCTTCCTCCTCCTCCTCCTCCTCCTCCTCGTCCTCCTCCTCTTCTTCCTCCTCCTCCTCCTTCTTCTTCTTCCACTGGATTTAGGGCCTCTGCTCATTAGGCAGGTGCCCCACTGCTCAGCTACATCTCTAGAATTTTATTTTACACTGGTTATTTTTGAGGTAAGGTCGTGGTTCTTGCCTGGACACCCACCTAGGCCAGGATCACCCATTTTAAAGTTCCTAGTGGCTGGATAATAAGCATATACCACCACCACACCCAGTTTCCTTCTTTTCAGCTGCTTTTCTACCTGGAATTGCAATCCTCCTAATCTCAGCCTTCCAAGTAGCTAGGATTACAGGCATGATGGCGTTGCCTTTTTTTTTTTTTTAAGGCTACAATTCACCTCTCAGTGGCCTGTCCTGGACATAGCCGCCTGTTGTGCTTAACGGTATGGATTTTATTCTTGAAGCATTCTTCCTTCCTGGGCTCCCAATAATCTCTGTGTTTCTGCTCTCATTGATTCTCATTAATTTTCTTTTCTTATTCCCTTTGTTTTCTACCACGTGAGCCATGTCACCAGTCCTGCTTTTTGCTGGTTAATTGGAGATGGATTTTCAAGGACTACTTTGCCTGGGCTGGCTTCCAACCGTGATCCTTCAGGTGTCTGTCTTCTAGTAGCTGGTAGGCTGGAGCCACCAGTAACCAGCTTCTGGTAAGTTGTCTTTTTAACACAATAATTTTTGGTCATGGCTTCCTTTCTGTACTGACAACTGGACTGGAGTTTAGCCTTTCTCCTTGTTCTCCTACTCAGGAGAGTTTCTGACTTCAATCTCATTGTCTAATCTATTGGACACATCATGCTCTTGTTCTTCTCCAAAGTATCTTAACTGTGTTAGTTCTATGCTTTTGGTGTTTAGAGCTACCTAAATATCCAACCCCTGGGGAACAATTGAATGAATAACTTAGGTCCCCAAAGGAAACATCACACAATCACTGAAAACTAAGATATTGAACATGCTGAAATAGAGCGGTACAGGGCTGGTCTAGCATGCGTGACCCTGGGTTCGATTATGAATACACAAACACTTAAGCTATCTGTTATATAAGGTCTACATATGTAAGATTGCATATGTGCATAAGCTTATATAAATGTAGCTGCTAATATAGACATTGAAAGTATATAAAAAGACAGTGTGTAAAATGTAAACAGGGATTTCTCATTTTTTGTTAAGACAGAGTGTCCCTATGCAGCTCAGGCTAGGGTTGAACTTACTGTGCATCTCAAGCATGCCTGAAATTAGTTTTCCTCCTATCTCAGATTCCCAAGTGCTGGGATTACAGAAGTGTGCCATCATAGTTGGTAATAATAATAATCACTGTGTGTATGTGTGCTTGCATAAATGTATGTACTCACCAGTACTGAGGCTTGAAATTAGGCCTGGGTGCTGCCCCTTCATTTTTTTCCACTCAAGGCTGGTGACTTACCACTTGAGCCACAGCTCTGGTTTTGGCTTTTTAGTGGTTAATTGGAGACAAAGAGTCTCGTGGACTTTCCTGTTTGGGCTGGGTTCAAACTGTAATCCTCAGGTCTCAGCCCACTGAGTAGCTGGGGTTATAGGTATGACCCACTGGCATCTGGCTCAATAGGGCTTCGTTTTAATATGCGTAACTGTTAGATGCTATTGCTTTCTCATAGGCCCTCTGCATGCTCTGTCATTTGGATGTGGTGACACATGCCCACCTCCAGGACTCCTCCACTACTTAGAGCTTTTGATCCATACAAACAATCAAGCACTTGAGAGTCTCAAGATCATTGCTGAAATGAAGCAAACTACCTTTTTCTATTCCCTACCTTCTTCATCTTCCCCTTCATTTATTCTGCAAAAAAACCAACAACCCCAAGGACTTCTGAGAGTCCTTTAGGACAGAGGCAAGCTTAATGGGACACTCATGATTCCAGCTACCAACCCATCCCAGGTTCTGAGGGGGTAAGGGCCAGGTATATCATCTTTGGTGGGAAAAACAAATCTTTCCCTCATAGGAAAGTCATTCTCTCAAACTCAGGTTAAGTGCACCTTGGCTACCCAAATCCAGCCCTTGTTAGCAAAACAGCCAGGCCAAATAAGAGAAAAGGCAAGCTGCAACCTCATTTCAGAAAGATGAGCCCACTTTAAACAATTTTTTATATGCACTGGGGGAAAAAAGAGGAAAAGGATATGTATCTAAAAAAAACAACTTTAACAATATGAATTTCCTTGTGGCTGGAATTCTAGCATTTCTATTTTCTCTACTGTTTCCTGTATTCTGTGATGGACATAAAATATCTGGAATCAAGGGAAACCTCAAAGCTGTCTTAATTAACCTCTGTCTGGCTTTCTCCCTCCTGAAGGCTTGCTGTTTTTGTGCTCCAATCATTACTTCCAAGGAAATGAATTTAAAGTTGGCAGTGTTAACCAGAACTGATAGAATCAAAGGTTTCTTTCCAAAAAAAGAAGAAGAAGAAAAAAAGACCTGCCTTGTTGGGCTGACCCAAACTTTCCTTTAGTTTCAGCTCAAATTTTAGAGAGGCTCCCTTCTCCACTTCCTCAAGAATACAAACAAGTAAATAAAAACAAATCCCTGGATGCACATGAATGGGAGCACAGAAAGGCTAACGTGACGTGACTCCAAGCCAGGAGTTGGCTTCTGCTTGACGGAGAACGCCCCGAGGGTGGTGGCAGCTTCTTGGCTTCAGACGGATGTGATCCAGCCACAAAATCTACCTGGCTACTGGCTGCACCTTCTGACCAGAGCCTTCCTGGTGGGCTAGCCTGACTGTAAGCAGCGTGCAAGGTGGACTGGGGCTTGGAGGGAGGAAGGTGAGAAGTATGGGGGATGGAGGGCTTGGATGCTAGCCGTGTTCTAGGCATAGGCGCTGAGGATCATGGACCAATCATTTCACCTCTAATGAGCTGAGGCAGCCATGGCCAAGGTCCTTCCTGAGTGGCTATTCTGGGATTCTGAGCAATTTCCTGGCTCCAATCCTGTACAACTTAGCTGGATATGAGCCTAGGAAAGCAATCTGTTTATGCCCTGGCACCACGATCCAGGTGCCCAACACACTTGCCTGTGTATCTCCCTCCTCTTTCAGACCTCTGAATACTGGAAGGAAGAGAAGCTACATGGAGGACCAGGTCTCCAGGCTTGTAAATTAAAAAAAGTGAAGTTTCACAGGATACTTTCAAACTCACTGCGTGAGGCTCTGATCCAAGGGAAACAGACAGGCCAAGATGTCGTTTTTAAGTTGCCCGGAATACTTTCTTGAAATCTGTAAATGCTTCTGTATCTAAATCTCTTTAACTACTTTTATAGAGTCTTATCAAACAATCCTATGACTACTTCTAGTTGGAGAGAAGTCGTTTTTGAAGACATTTGACATCTAGGAGGAATTTGCAGTTGGTTTCAGCTTGGGAGAAAAACAGCGCCTACTCAGACGCCTTTAGCCTGCTCTCCCTACAAGCAAGAAAGGTCTGATTGTCAGTTTTCCTGGATCAGAACACAGAAGGAAAGTGCTGAGTTTTCAAAAGGAAGGCCAGGAGCTTTTCATTTTATTTTATTTATTTTTGTGCTGGTAGTGGAGTTCAAACTCAGGGACGTAGGCTCTCATTTGGCTTTTTCACTCAAGGCTGGCACTCTATTACTTGAACCATATCTCCTTTTCAGCATTTTGCTCGTTACTTGGAGACAAGAGCCGCACAGACTTTATTCCCTCAAAGGACGAGCCTCAGATCTCTTCTTGAGCAGTTAGGATTATTTACAGGTGTGAGCCACTGGTGCCTGGCCAGAACTTTTTCAAGATGGGGAATTCAGCTTCTCCGCATCCCTCCCCCCATCCACCCCCATCTCCCTTTCAGTTTGAAAACAGGAGATACTGCTGAGTGGAGTTTGGCTAATTAGTGAGAATTGCCACTAGGCTGGAAGGAAGGTATCGGCTAGCAGGTGAGCAAGGGCATTGCCATTTGGGATGAGTGGGTAAGAGGGAGCATGGAATGGAGTACTGGAGTAACAGAGGGGTCAATGTAGGGGTGAGGGGTGAAGAGAGGAGTCTTAGGAGCCCAGGTGGCAGGAAGAAGGCAGAATTGAAGACTGGACAGAAGAAGCAAAAAGAGTGGGAAGAAGAATTATGAGGATGTCTCCAAGGATGATTGTGTCTTCTGGAAAAAGCTGTTCTCGTGTGTATATTTTGAATAAGGACAACTGAAGTAATTGACACACAAAACTGGAAAACATAAAGGAATTCAGCTCATGCGTATAAAATTCACATCTGTTCAAGAGGGTAATTTGATGATCTTATGTTAATCCAGAAGAGCATTATATCTATTCCCATTTGAGGCTTCTAAAAAAATGTATTCTAACTTTCTTTTGTTCATTTGTTGTATGACAATACTAAAAATGGCTGGGTGCCGGTGACTTACACCTGTAATCCTAGCTTCTCAGACGGCTGAGATCTGAGGATAATAGTTTGAAGGCAGCTTATGAAAGTGTATGAAACTCTCACCTCCAATGAATCACCAAAAAGCCTGAAGTGGAGCTATGGCTCAAGTGGTAGAACAGTAGCCTTGAGAAAAACAGCTCAGGAACAGCTTCCATGCCCTGAGTTCAAGCCCTAGAACCAGCACCAAAATCAAACTAAACCAAACCCTAAGGGTATCTGTAGTCTATGAATCACCTAAAAGACAAGACAAAAATTCATCTTCAGACACAAACTCTCACAGTGACTACCTGACTTGGTTATTATGGGAGAGGGTTCTTTTGGTACCACTGAGGAAAAAAAAGAGATTTTTAATACGAATATAATGATAACAGACCAAGAAAATATCTATTGCGTTGAGAGGCATAATAAATCTTACAGTAAGCTATGAAACATGGGATAAGTAAGTTTTTGGAGAGAAGATCTCTCAGGTTCTTTTCCAGTTTTGTATTTGTGCCTTAGCCTGATTTTTCTAAGAGGCCAATATTTTAAACTGCAAAGAGTATTCGATTGCCAATGGGATTTTAACATAAATGTGGTAATGCACACAATTTGAAACAGCTCATGGATAATTGGGAGGGAGAAGAATCTGTCATTCTGTCTGGAGCATAAAATACCTACTCATGTTAATCACCTCTCATCTCTTTTCTGGTGGGTTCATATGACCCGCACCACTGCCCAGGCCTTTGAACCTGCCATTCTCAACATGTGGAGCAGCAGTATCTCTTCTGCGTTCCGATGCAAATCCACACTTAGGGTCAACTGTGAAAAATCTGCACTTTACACAAACCCTTCCCAGATTTCATAGCAATCTGCAATATTGTTTTCTGCAATATCACATCCTGCTGGTCTCCTTACTATAGTCTATTTAATGAGATGTTGTTTTACACACTTTTCTAGTTGCTTTATGAAAACATTTTTCCCTCAGCAAGTTTCTTTTCTTTGTCCCTCCCTTCCTCTCTCCCTCCCTCCACCCTTTCTTTTTTGCTAGTCCTGGCTTGAACTCAGGGCCTGGAAGCTATTCCTGAACTTTTTCAGCTCAAGGCTAGTGCTCTACCACTAAGAGCAACTGCTCTGCTTCCAGCTTTTTATTCTTTTTTTCATCTTCTTTTTTTGTGTGTGTGATTAATTGGAGATAAGAGTTTCATGGGCTTTGCTGCCCAGGCTGGCTTTGAACTGTGATCCTCAGATCTCAGCCTCCTGAGTAGTTAGAATTATAGGTGTGAGTCACAGGCAGCTGGCCACAAGTTTCTTTTTCTAGTTAAAAAACTGGGCCTCATCCTTATCAGTGGACGGATGCTTGTCCACTAGGTGGTGGCCATCCCAACCTCATAGAGATGAGGCAAAGAGGAAGAACTAGAAAGTACAGATCTAGGTGGGCACAGAGGCCTAACTTCATTCAATCTATTTCTAAAGGAAGAAAGCAGCATCCAAGGAGAAAACCAAAGAGGTGACATCACATTATATGACAGCTTCTGTGTCAGAAGCTAAGGCCGATGCTCCAACCCAGCCCCCTCAGGAGTGGCCCTGCCTTCCTGCTCCATCCCTCTGAATACTTTCTGCCTACTGCTGCTGCTGCTGTGCCCTTTGACCAGCTCCAGCTTGCCCTAAGGAATTGTGACATTTTAGTGGTGGGTGAGGCCACTCCTCTGTAGAGTGTCTCGGTTGGGAATGCAGTTTTTGGAAGAAAGACACTATTTAACAAGAACACTATTCCTTTGATGGCCTCGTGGAATTGAGTGAAAGAGTTAAACAAAAACAAAATCATCAAGTCTGAGCTGGTACCAGTTTTGAAGTATAGCCTCTCATTTCAAGCTGGCCACCACATTGCTCTAGGCCGAGTCATTCTACTTTCCAATGGGAAGACATTGGTGATATACATCACGAGATACTTTTCTTGACATAATGAAGAAGGAATTAAAATGAGGAGTCCGTTTTATTCAAAGAAAAAAGGGGAAGAAGGGAGTGGCACTGTGGCTCAAAGGGGTAGAGTACTAGCCTCGAGCCAAAAACCCCAGGGACAGCACCTAGACCCTAAGTTCAAGCCCCACTACTGGCAGAAAGATAAAAAGAAGAGTTAAGCTAAAAAAAAAAAAAAGGTTAGTTGAATTTTTGGTGATTTTAAAAAAATCAGAAAAAGATTCTTTATATACATATCATCAATGATGAATAGCCAGGTTCTACTAACACCAATTAAATTATATTGACTATCTAGATTCCAATGATATTCACAAGTTTAACAGGATCCTAAACACACAGGGAAATAAGACATTTTTTTTTCTGTCTAACATTTCTGTCTAACATATGAAGACAACAGCAATGTTTTATTTACGAATTAGGTTAACTTTTAATGCCAGCCCATTGGTATGACTGGAATTATGTCTCCCCAAATTCCTGTATTGTTCTAACCCCCAGAAGGTGGCTTCATTTGGACATGGAGTTGTTGCTGGTAGTTTTAATTAATTAAGATTAATTAATTATAATTACAATGAGATAGTACCGGCCTAGGGGTCTATCTGTGGCCCCTTATTCCTAGACACTCCCTACTCCAGTATAGCTAGTGTTCCTACGAGCAGAGGAAATGTTTACATACAGGCAAGACACACAGGGAGCGAGAGCCCTGTGGGGAACAAAAACAGGGATGAAGACAGATGCCACAAGTCAAGGAGCATAAAGATTTCCAGCCACTGGCAGGAGGTGGAAAACAGACCTGGAATAGATTCTCCCCCCACATCAGACAGAAGGAACCAACAACCAACCCTTACTAACATCTTCATTTCATTTTGGATTGCTCACCCCGAGGTCTACAAGACAATGAATGTCTGTCATTTAAACCACCCAGTTTATGGTCCTTTGTTGTGTAGTCCAGGCAAACGAATACACTCAGGGAGAAAGAAATTTGCACAGCCATGACCTATGGGATTTAAGATACAGTCATTTAAGATAGAATTGTCCCCAAGAAGGGGATAAACACTGGCTCTTACTGTCAGGTCCTGCGGAGAATTTGGCTTCTTGATGTTGATCTCGATGCTGTAGTTGTCTTGTTTCACCTCTAGGGGGGAGCCAAGCACAGTGGCCACCCCTTCGAACATCTGGGACTTGGTTAAGGAGGGGACAGCTGCCACTGTGAGATCCTCTTTGTCTTTGTCCTCCTCTTCTCCATGGACCGTCTCTCCATTCATGCTGACTTTTGCATCTACCTATAAAAGCCAGGATGAACACAGAACACGCTATTTTCCAGCCAAAGAGGATCACAAAATACAGTCTACAATTCACCTTAAATAACTGCCACTGACTAGTCAAGAGTTCAAAAAAGAATAAGGTCTCACAAATGTTTTTATCTGTTCTAGAGCACAAGGTTTCCATAAATGCCATGTATTTAACCGTCTCTTTAAAAGGCTACTCTCACTATTAGATTTTATATCATGTGCACAAAAACATGCCATATATTTGGGTTCCAGTAGTGTTTGATTTAAATTCTGACTGCTGTTGCACAGGTTTTTTTCTTTTCTTCTTTTGCTTTGTGCTAGTTCTAGGGCTTGAACTCAGGGCCTGGCCTTTGCTTTTTTCTCTCAAGGTTAACACTCTATCACTTGAGCCACAGCTCCAACCTTCAGCCTTTTGATGGTTAATTGGAGATAAAAGTCCCATGATTTTCCTGCCCAGGCTGGCTTTGAACTTCGATCTTCAGATCTCAGCTTCTTGAGTAGTAGCTATGATTATATGTGTGAGCCACTGGTGTTCCCTTGCTGACATTATGCTACCTTACAAAAATGTTCTTTTTCTAGCTAATTTTATAGCACACACACACACCCCTCCCTACCTTTTCTTTTTTCAAGACAAAGATGAGACACATTAAAATGCTTTGTGTTTCACCCTCATGTCTAGGGGAAATATTCAGAACAAGGAAAGAGAAGCAGAGAGGGTGGTGAGCCTGGCTTCTGGAAAGGCTTCTAGAGATCGTTCTCAAAGCGTGAGGCAGAATATCAGGGTTATGAGAGGAGTATGTTCTTAATGTACTTAGGATCAAAGTCATGTAATATCTGTTTCTTATCTTCTATGCATAACTCAACAATTAAATTAACAGTATCTCCTTAATTGTGCTTTTACAGAGATTTTTATGTATGCAGTGCACACTTGACACAGATAAAGAATTTTAAATGATTAACATTTAATATTAATTCAATGACTAAGATTTTAAGTGGCATACGATAATAACCATGCCTTCTAAAATCTTCAGAAAGAAATACTAGAAGGCCAGTTAGGAGGTATGGTTTATTTATCTTGCACTGTCAGCTTTCATACACTTAGTTTTTGATACAGGGTCTTGCCATGTTGCTTTGACTGGTCTTGAACCCCAGAGTTCTAGTGATTCTTTTATCTCAGCCTCCTCAGAGCTGAGACTCCAGATTGACTTTTACTCTTGTTCTGTTGTACTTGGAGAAACAACTAACCTGTATTTCCTCCCTCCCACCTGGTAAGAAGCTCACACATACACATCTTTTCTCTACTTCCTTCCTGCTACTTTCTGGTAACAACTGTGCTGTATACATTTTACCTTTCATCAAGATCACCCATCTACCCACTCAGTGATAGAATCCTAGGCTCTGGAGCCCTCTAGGCCTTGGAGGAGGCTAGTTATTGGTCAACAGTGACCTTCAGCTTGAGAAGACTTCTATCCAAATTCCCAACACACCCCCTCCACAGATGTGCTCCTAGGGCCTCTGTACCACCCAGCTCCCCTGGGAAAGCAAAGGGTTCTGTCAGAGTCAAAGTTTTGCTATTTACCCTAATTCTTCTGTTTCAATGATTACATTGTACTGTTCACATTAAAGACATTGACATGATATGATCCACTGCCTTGGAAGACTAGTTAAACCAATGCATTCCCTACCCTGGCTTTGTTTGACCCAACTGCATATGAAACTTTTGTTCATGCAGTGTTATAAGCCATCCACCACCATGGCCTCAGATGGAGGAATGTACTAAATGGACCACTGATCATGGGCTGGGCACGGGGTTACATGTGTGCATGAGTCTGTGGGATGAGGACAAGTGAAAAATCATGTATTTACTCACTAACTACTTGCTGAATGTCTACCCTGTTCGAGGCACTGGTGCCAGGCTCTCCGGATGAAGCTGTGAATTACAGACTTACAGTCTCTGCCCTGAAAGGATCAAACATCCCAGCTGGATCCAGATGAGAAGCTGCCATTTTCCCTCTCTTCAAGCAAAGCTTATGGCAAGCTTCATGCTTGTTAGCCGAGTGTTCCACCGCTCTCAGCCCTTTTTATTTGCTTTTGCAGATGGGATTGCATGTTTTTGCTCAGGTTGGTCTCAGAGTAGCTGGGTTACAGGTATGTACTACCATGCCCAAGCCATGGCATAGATTTCCACGACACAGGGTTGTTTGAGCTGAAATATGGGGTGGTTCTTCTGGAAACTCAGTAAGGAAGATACATGGTCTCATACCGCTCAGTTAGCCAAGTTACTCAAACTTCTCACACCAAGTCTTCATGGTTCCATCACTGAGTGACGAATTCCTCCTCTGTCATGTGTTATGAACTGATATGGTATACAAGGGCAGCAAGACTTGCTTTTTCTTCAAAGCCCAAAGAGCTTAAGACAAAGTGTCTTAAGGAGGGAAAATAAGGGTATTTGAGGACATAAATTGATATCTAATTACCAGAGGGTTTTGTTTGTCATGCAGGCTTGTTTTTGGAAGACAATGTTACATATTTCACTGGTAAAACCTAGTTTCTTTCCACTTAAGGAAAATCCTATCTTGTCTCAGGATTGAGTACATCCTGTGTTTTTATGTATTCCTTGTGTGTGTTTTCCTAATTGTAGCATTTATCAACTTCTTTCTAAAGAACATATAGTTGAAGCCAAGTATTGGTGGCTCACTCCCATAATCCTAGCTTCTCAGGAGGCTGAGATCTGAGGATCACAGTTTGAAGCCAACCCAGGCAGGAAAGTCCATGAGACTCTTATCTCCAATTTACTACTATCACAACACAAAAAAGCCAGAAGTGGCTCTGTGGCTCAAGTGGTAGAGTGCTAGCTTTGAGTACAAAAGCTCAGGGGCAGTGCCCAGGCCCTGGGTTCATTCAAGCCCCAGGACCAGCACTTTAAAAAAAGAAAAAGAAAAAGGACACAGTTGTATATAAACCCAAAGCAATGAAAATGTTTGTTTTCTTCAGGAGTTTGACATATCTCTAGATAGTTGAAGACACTAGGGTGTTATTAAATTCGTATTTCTTTCCATTCTCCTAGAGACCATGGAATTTTATGATACTAGTAACTAGACCTCATCTCTGCAGATGACCTGTCAATCTCTCTTTGTTCATTAGTGTCAATGATAGTAATTAAGAGAAATATCTGGCCCTTCAGTATTTATAGACCAAATCTCCTGAGCCCTACAAATGAAGAAATGCAAACATTAACACATTGGCTTTTGTGTGGTTAAAAATGCATTGGAGCCGGGTGCTGGTGGCTCACACCTGGAATCCTAGGTACTCAGAAGGCTAAGATCTGAAGATCATGGTTCAAAGTCAGCCTGGGTAGGCAAGAAAGGCCTTGAGACTCTTATCTCCAATTAACCAGCAGAAAACCAGAAGAGGAGCTGTGGCTCAAAGTGGTAGAGCATGAGTCTTCAGCAAAAACAGCTCAGGGACAGCACCCAGGCCCTGAGTTCGAGTCTTACAACTGACCAAACAAAAAATGCAGTGGAGTTGAGTTTGGGCTCTACTACTCACTCAGTCTTCTTACCTTGAAGGTCTTCAGAACCTCTTGGGAGTTTCTGGGCTGCGAGTAAGGCTTGGGCGTCAGCATGGGCACGGCTTTGGGCGTGACCGCTTTGCTTGGAGATCCGCTGCCTGCTGCCGTGTTGGTGTCAGGAACACTGGCACGCGCGATGGTGGTTTCCACCGTGGCCGTGAACTTGGGGGGAGGCAGGGACTGTTGCCGCAGGTATTTCATGGGGCTGGGGTCGTTCAGGAAGGAGGATAAGTTTGGCTCTGTGGAATGGCTTCTTTCCAGGATTTTTGGCATTTCCAAGCGTTCGAGGACAGCCTCGCTGATGGTGAACCTCTCGATGTACTGCTGGAGGATCCCCTGGGCCTCCTCCTGAGACCTGGCGTTCTTATAGGCCTCGTGCAGCTCTCGCTCTCTCCGCTCTCTAGACAAGGGGGGAGGGAACAAGGTCAACAGTCAGGAACGAAGCCAAGGAGGCCCCAGCTCGAGGTGGCGCAGAATACGTCTATGCAATAATGGCGTCAGAACCTCTGTGACAGCGATTTAGGAAAAGCACATCTAGATGATGGCATATATTACAAACAAGACCAGAAAGCACCCACTTTTCTTGAACGATTTCTTTGTAGGTCTTGATGCTTTTCCTCCGTTCACTTGTCCCATAGTCTCCAGCCAATAACTTCTCCATCTTTTTTCTTTCTTCCTCTTTCTTGATTAAGTCTTGGGAAGCACTTCTTCGACGGCTCTTCCAACGAGCCAGGTCCTGGAGTAGGGAGAGAAAGAAAGAAAGAGACAGACAGACAGACAGAGACAAAGACAGTCAGAGAGACGCACAGAGAGAGAAAAATACAACATTCTTCTTTAGCTTGCACATTACTCCCTGCTTCCCTTTCAGAAGAAGAGTTTCATGAACACAGAGGACAGAAAACCCAGGAACTCTGCGAGGTGGTGCCCGGCAACCCAGCATAAGGCTGCATCAGGACGAGGATGCCTTGAAGACAGGACACAAGCACATGGTATCCACACGAGCCACAGCACGGCAGCACTGACTTCAGCATTGCGATGTGAAATGTATGCAATCATATTTCAGGTCACTTGCCACACTGGAGAGCCTTGTTTCACAAGATAATTGGTAGAGAATGCTCCCCCCTGCACTATTTGTGTCTTCTGTGCTGGAAACAGATTTGTCAATGATAGAAGGGTTAGGGATTCGTTGATAGGTTTCTTGTGGAATGAAGAAAAGACAGAAGACAAATGGTTCCGGAGACTCGTGGGTCTGGTGAGTCAGACCTTAACGACCTCCTCATCGTAGCTCTATAGGAACTTGTAGAGAAATGATGAAAAGTGCAACTCTGGGGGACAGGGGATAGGATGCAGGTGTGGGAAATGGACCAGTTCTGCCGCTCATGCTCTGGAACCTCAGGTATGTTTCTTAGCCATTCTGTACCTTAGTTTCCTTGTCTCTAAAATGGATGTGATTATGGAGCTTTTCCTTATAAGTCTGGAAGGTGAACTGTGATAATACGTGTTAACTGCTAGGCATCTAGCAAATGCTCAATATACTATAGATATACGTGCAGCTCCACTTCCGGTTTTCTGGTGGCTAATTGAGGATAAGAGTCACATGGACTTTTCTGCCAGGGCTGGCTTTGATCCATGATCCTCAGAGAGCTAGGTTTACAGGCATGAGTCTGGCAGAAGTTAGTTCTTTTGAGTAATTGTAGAGTTGGGCTCTCAAAATGGCCAGTTCAGAGCACTCCATGATAACAAGAGATGGTCCACTGTCCCACCTCACACTTCAAAACTTCAAACTTGTCCTGTGTTAGCTCTTGGCTAACACAATCTCACATCCCTCACCAGACTCTTGGGTTCTTTCTCTGGTTCCAATCCTGGCTTTCTTGCTCATTGGTTGTGTGGCTCTGGGGAAGTGACTTTCCTGGGCTTGGACCCCTCTGCAGAATGGGGGTAGGGGGTGGGGCAGGGAATAATAGTGGCTAGCACAGTAAGGACATGAAGGGGGAAATGGGGACAGCAAAGGAACAGGTGATACTGACCAAGAAGTGTCATCCTCCCAACCTGACTTACGCCATTGTAACCCTTTGTCAAACTGCTTAATAATAATACAAGTTATAAAATAAAATTGCTATCATGGTTGGTTGCTAAGGGGGCTGAATGTCACTTAGAAGAGTGTCTGGTTACTGGTCCCCTTGCAATGTGAGCCATTATTGCTGTGGTCACTGCCATTCTCATCAGCATCAAGTACAGAACCTCAAAAGGCAGCGGCTTCTCCATTGCTGCTCACCTCCTACCTCTGCCTCCTTGGGGGGCTGCGGGGGGGGGAGTCAAGCTTTTGGTCAGGGTACCTGCAGATTACCTGCCAGTGACATTCACCTAGCAGGTCTTACCTTCTGCTCTTCCTAACGCTTGCTCTCATCCTCCTGTTTGCAGTGTTTGCAAGTGGGGCTTTCAAGTCCAAATCTACCCAGCCCACCGGATTGTGGATCCTCCCCCTCCCCACCCATAGGCTGCCCGCCCATGGCCTTGGCTGGAACTCACATCTTGCCATTTGTCATCTTCCTCTCTCAGCTGGGTATTAATCAGCTGCAGCTGCTCCTGGCGAGCCCTGCTGTGCGGCAGCACCGCAGCAGCCTCCTCCTCACACCGCACATCAAACATACTGGTGCTCCTACAGGAGTGGACAGAAGGAAACAAACAAACACAAAAAGCCAGCGGGATCAGCAATTCTGTCTCGGCCGCGTGAGGGCGCTACTGTGCCTGGAAGCCAACTCTATTCCTCTGTAGCCCAACGGTCAAGTGGGGAGGGGATATGCTGTGTCCCCCCCTACCCCCACCCCCCTCCAGCCACCAAGCCAAAATGGGACTGTCTTTGTCTTTGGTGATGTGGAGAGAGAGAGAGAGAGGAAAAAAAAAACTAACACAAAAGGTATTTGAAGGTCTGGCCTCCTCTCTTTTGGGAATGTATTTCAACATAAAATGAGAATTCAAAGCTCTGTAATTTGGGAAGCACATGGCGGGGGTGGGAGGTGTTCTGTGATGTGGGACTATATTGCACTAAACGCTTTTCTGCAAAGAGCTGGCTTAAGAGCTTCCTACACGAAGGAAGGCCTTTTTTACATTTTTCAATCATATTTTATTGAGTTTTAGATGCATCTGACAACTACCAGTTGGTGTGTCTCTTTGATGTGTTTTTTCCCCCCTAATTTCCTGTAAATCTGTAGGCAATTGATAGTGCTCTTAACAGCATCTTGGATGGAGAAAATAAGGTATTTTCTACAAAGAGAATGAAGTAAAAGATATGTCAGCATACACTTTGTATCTTTTGTAACCGGCTCACACAATCATTTTAATGTATTTGAATATGTCAGGCTGTCTCTGAATTTACCCTTTTAAAAACAAAAGGAAAGGGGATCTATTAAAAAGAAAAAACCTTAGTCTGTGTCTGTGATCAATATATTTATTCAGCTGGACACAGAACCAGAAACCAAAGTAAGTATTACTTTTTTGTGTGATGGAAATGACTACCTTTGGGAGCAGGTGAGTGACGGAGTCTAAAACGCAAGCAATGGAGGGACTCTGGGTAGCCTCTGGGTGCAGAAGACCTGAATAGTTTATTTTTGAAGCCAGCTTGACTCACAGCAAAAGAAAAGCCATGCGTGTAGACACCAACAAATTCCAGGCATCATCTGCGATGTCGGAAGTTTACCCCCATCCCTGCTCCCCCCCCCCCACCGTGGCCAGATGTTGAGCAACAGCAGCAGCAGCACCCATGGGTGCAATGGGCTCCCCAGGCAGGCTGCTCTCCAGAAGGAGATGTCCCCTAGACAGTCATTGGCCCACCATTCACTCAGAATGGGCTTGTGTAGATGGAGCTGTCCCTCTCTCTTCTCTTCAGGTGTCTAACCTAAGACAAACTAAAGACTGTCCTTGTTATCTGTCTTCTCTCAGAGTAGTCTAATTAACTGCAGAGATGGGATTTTATCTGAGGCAAAGCACTACGAGAAACCACCACCAACACTCTCCCTGGGCAGTTGCTGACTCCACAGCTGGGGCAAAAAAAAACTTCATTAGGAGAAAAGCTGTGATTTTTTCCCCCTGGTTTTATACTACTTATGAATGTTCTTTAAGAAAGATTTAGGATCAGGCATGGTGGCACATGCCTGTAATCCCAGCACTTGGGAGTCTGAGGCTGGAGGATTAAAAAATTGAAGCTAGCCTCAGCAAGACATTGTGTCAATAAACCATTCATTTTTTTAAAAAAAAAAAGAAGAAAGGAATTTAAAATCCTAATTTTTTTTTTAAACTTCATGATGGAAAGAAGACCTTCTAGAAATGGGCTGTCATCCCATTCCTCTTGACAGTTAAAAGAAAGGAAAAAAAAAACCTCTTACCTGTAAAATATCCAATCCAATCAGTTATCTTTGAAGGCAATTTACAATCTCTGCTATGATCGTCTAAGACATAAACTTCTAGGAACTGGGGCTCTCCTATAATTTACAGAGTAGCTATCTGATTATGGAGCAAAAAAGCGCTTCCTTCCTATGACGTTGCCATCTATAATTGAATGGGCAGAATTTTGGTTTAGAGAGCCAGGGCCTCTTAAGAAGCCTGGGAAGGAAGGCAGCCTTCTCCAGGGTATGGATGCAGCCAGCCCTGTGCCGGCATGCGGTCAATGGATCAGGCACACCGCTACCTTCCTCTGGCCTGACTTTCTATCTGTGTTCTTTCTGGAAAGCACTGAGTAACCTCAGCCCAAATGTGGCTAGAGGCTAATGCTTAGGGAAATAAAAAGAGAAACTCTAGCTTGCCCTCTTCTCAACTGGAAGTGCTAACCACCCCCCACCCCCATGCTGAAGTTTTTGGCTCATTTTAGGAAACATCAGCAAATGGCAATATTTTTATGTCACTTCAAAAAAAAAAGGAAGTGAGAAAGGAGAGAAGGGACAATACAGGAGAGAAAATGGGCTGAGTCATTATTTAGAGAATGTTCTCTTAATTCTGAGGTTGGATGGACTTGACCTCTCAAATAAATAACTGTGGGGCTGGGGCTGAAGTGAGGCAGGGATAGGGGAATCTGGGAGAAGCTTCCAGAATATAAATGTAACTTGGGCTAAAACAATCCTTCTCAGCCCTGATGCCTATGTGCTTGGGGAACCAAGGCTTGCCAGCTTTTGGGCCTAGGACTCTTCCTTGGGATTGGGTTTTTCTTCTCTTGCATTACTGTGGCTTGAACTCACAGCTTCATGCTTATTAGGCAGGTGCTCTACCCCTTGGCCACACTTCAGGTTATTTTGGATGTAGGGTCATGCTTCCGGCCTCAGGGATCTGCCTAGGGAGTTTCCTGCAGTAGCTAGGATGACAGGCAGGTGCTATCTCACCCAGCTTCTTTCCACTGAGAATCTCTTGGACCTTTTTGCCCTGACTGGCCTGGATTCATGATCCTCCTGATCTCAGAGCCACAGGCACCCAGGCGGGTTGGCAGTTTGGCAAAACGGGATGAAGTTTCCTCAAGGGGAACTTAGGAATGGTTTCTAGGCCAGGTATAAGCTAAGTAACTTTGGAATGAAAAGACCTGTCTCTCCCAAGATGAAGTCTCTTTTTGGTCGGGTGAATGTTGAAAAAGGAATGTAAGTAAGGAAATGGAGAGCAGGTGGGCCTAAATCAACAGACAGTCTGGCCGGCTGGGAGTAGGGGATTTCTCCCTTTGCCTGTGTGGTGGGTCTGCCTTGACCTACAATCTCTTTCAAGGAGACAACTTTATTATTATTATTACTGAGTTGTATTTTCAAAACGTATCGATTATTCATCCATGTAGCCTAAGTCACTAATTGTCTTTAAGGATTTCAGGAAAGGGAAGAGAAAGGGGAAAAATTAAAAATAGTAGACATTTCTATTTGTTTTTGTTGGTCGTGGGTCTTGAACTCTGGGCCTGGGCGCTGTCCCTCAGCTTGTCCACTCAAGGCTAGCGCTCTACCACTTGAGCCACAGTCCCACTTCCAGCTTTTTCTGCTTATGTGGTGCAGAGGAATCGAATCCAGGGCCTCATGCACGCAAGGCAAGCACTCTACCACTGAGCCACCTTCCCAGCCCACATTTCTATTTTTTTTAAATGAACGAATATTATCTTTTCAGCTTTTCTCCATGTCATCAGGTAAACAGTGTCTATTCTAAGCAGAAAAGTCCCTGATTAGATCTTCAGGAAAAAAGTTCTTGGTCCACAGGGCTGTCTTAAAAAAAATAAATACAGAAAAGCAAGACCAACTCCATCCTCTCCTACCTCTTCAAGAGTCATTAACTAACTGGGTGCCAGTTACTCATACCTGTAATTCTAGCTACTCAAGAGTCTGAGATGTGAGGATTCAAAGCCAACCTGGGTAGGAAAGTCCATGAGATTCTTATCTCCAATTAACTACTTAAAACAAAAAAAAGCCTGAAGTTGTGACGCTGTGGCTCAAGTGGTAGAGCGCTAGCCTTGAGCAAAAAAGCTCAGGAATAGCACTCAGGCCCTGAGTTTAAGCCCCAGGACTTGTACAAAAAAAAAAGTTATAAATTTTTTCTATGCTTGCCAGAAGCTCTTGAATGAAGTTCTTTCTTTCACCTGTTAGGATTTCCCAGAGATCTAATTTATGCAAAATGCACGGCAGCTTTGCACACACACACAAAAATCGATTCTTTCAAAATGTTTTTGCTCACACAGTCAAAAATAAAGTTTGGTCTACCCATCTCATGTAATCCTCCTTTCAAAGAATGTTAAGTATTTCCACTGGAGGTTTTAAGAGTATCAACCAGTGCCCAGACGACTTAATGCCATCAGGCAACCTCAGGAGGAGTTTGGTTTTGAGACATGACCGGTCTGTGTGTCCGATGACTGGACAGCCATGGATCGCCCATCTCAACTTGGCCATGGAGTCTGACTCCTTAGAACAGAGTCCACACTAAGCCAACATCTTGAATACGAACATAAAAAGGCACAATGCAGAGACACTTTCTTCCATCAGTGGAAACGATTAATTGTGGGGCCCACACCCTTCAAGTTCATTAATTCCATGACAGAATTGTGATGCAAACCTGGGTTGACATTTAGACTTAGTAGACTACTGGTGTTACAAATTAGATTCCAATCACATTTCTTAAGACATAAATTACTCTAAGTAGGAGGATCACAGTCTGAGGTTGGTCTCAGGCAGACCCTCTCTGAAAAAGCAAAAAAGACAAAAAAAGGACTGGGGACATGGCTCAAACAGTAAAGTGCCTCCCTTGCAAGTGGGAAACTCTGGATTTGAACCAAATTACTCAACTACAAGGCAGCTAGTATTCTGCAAGAAAACCTTTGCCTTGTTTGTCAAGACAAAATGATCTGCAAATGGGCACTGAGTTTCTAAGACAATTAGTGCAGTCTCAAATGGGGACTGAATCTCCCAGGGGAGCGAAAAGCAAGTAGTAGGGAGAGGAAGTTCAGGTCGTGTTTGCCACCCTTGACCCCTTGCTTGCTATGCCACGGAACCTCAACAAAACCCCAATGTTTTTGTCTCTGGCAGTCCTCGGCTCCCAGGACTCCAACTTGGGAGGAATTGGTCTTCTGACTCTATCATTACTGGTTGAGGATTTATTTTTCTTAGTTTGAGAAAAAAAAAAGTGACAACAGGGTTACTGTCCCAATACATCAAG